CCTTTAGTCTTTTGGTATTAATGGGAATATCTACGTTCACCAGCAAAGAATTTAATTTTTTGCAGGGTATCTAAGATTGACAATGTAAGATTACTCATCACATACCACTGCTGCAGGATCAGCGGTTTTGCAGTACAGCCAATCCTTGGATGGTTTAGCCACGGCCAGTGCCTTACGCATCTCAGAGTTCCGGGCGCAGGACTGACATGACGCCGCCGACAAGGAAAATAGCTGGCGATTGAGTTCGACAGGAAGATAGCCTCTGGTAAACGTTTACATAACTGATGGGAAAATCACCATTTTTAATGTGAAAAGCCACTATTTCTATGGCCATTTTCAATAGCTATGTTAAATTACCAGAGGGTAGCGCCAGATGTTTTTTGTGACGGGATGTGACGGGTCAAAAGCCTCTTTTTAGGTCAATTGATGCAGGTGGTAAGTAGATGCTCATCCCAATTCATCCAGAATGTTGTACAATGTGGGTAAAACAATGCCATGTTTACCATCCCATATTTATCATCACCATAAATTTAGGTGCGATGTTTACCATTCCCAGGAAAATGGGTGGTCTATGGCACTTGTTTTACCCACATTAATAGGTTTCTTTCACCCATCCCCATCTGATCCACTGTCCCAATTCATGGAGTCGATATCCCAAGCGATATCCGTGTGGTTTTCTGAGAAAACTGGCCCAGAGCATTTTTTTCCTCGCCCAAGTTTGGGGTTCGTATGGGTTCTGAAAATTGGGTACTTCTAAAATCCCTACAAGGTGGTGCCCCCTAGATAGCTAAGTTGGTGCAAATAACTCCAATAACTATGGTTTATAGGTGATATATCTATAGTTAATGGGATTATAAACCAACTTATAACTGGGGGGCACCACCTTGTAAAATCAATGAGTATCATATTCTTGATGAAACTATCCCTTTTGGGAGTACACGCCATTTTCCAACAGACCCATATCCAGTTTCATGGCATTTCTTGACCCTCACCTTGTAGATGGAACAGGGCACACCCAAAATGAGCAAAATGAGCAGTCAATCTGTGGCTTTATCAATTTTGATCCATATCTGTGGTAAAATGTTGAAATTGAAAGTTGCCACATATGTTCGAAATGAATGACATGAATTGCACATATATATAATTATATATATATATATATTGTACATATATTATGGCATGCTGTGTCTATGTGGTCGCCGTCTCAGCCTACATGTTCTCATCCATATGGATAATAACTCCCCTCTGGTAATTTAACAGTTTGCTATTGAAAATGGCCCATTTAGTTCATTGATTTACCTATTAAAGATGGTGATTTTCCATAGCTATGTTAGTTTACCAGAGGGTATCATATGTCCATTCATCACAAGTTGTATCTCTATTTAATGCCATTTATATCATTTTATATCCACTTGATTGTGAAATTCCCATAGGAAAATATCGGTGTGTCTGAAAATTGGGGATATTTCCGTTACAGTTCACCAATAAATGGTGATGTGTTACCAACAAATAATGGATACATCTAAGTATGTAGTATGTTGTTTCTAAGATCAGCTATACCCCACGGATCCAAGTACATTCTCAGGAAGTGTGTGGGGTATGATTTGGGGGGTTAAGTACCTTCTCAGGAGGTGTTCGGATCCATAAGGATATATCTTTCAAGGGTATCTACCCTCTGGTAAACTAACATAGCTATGGACAATGACCATTTATAGTGGTTTTTCCCTATTAAAAATTGTGATTTTCCATAGTTATGTTAGTTTACCACAGGGTAAGTGTTTTTTTTTTGCATATTACCCCAGGGTAAACGTGGAAACATCGATGTGGAGATCCCCATGGGTTTCCCTAGGAAAAAGATCTAGAAACGGTGTTTTTTCCGCATCTATGTCAGTTTATCCAATACACTTTGGTAAACTAACGTAGCTATAGGAAATTGCTATTTATAGTGGAGTTACCCATTAAAAAATGGTGATTTTCCCATCAGTTATGTAAACGTTTGCCAGGCCGGGTAAATGAGGTTATTTACGTATGAACCATGGTGATTTTCCCATCAGTTATGTAAACGTTTACTGTTTACCAGGCCGGGTAAAAAAGAAAAACCAAACACATCGCTGATCTGGCAGGAGCTCTCTAGTCTTGCTTGGTGTTTTGCCTCCTTGCGCTGGATTCAGGAAGGTTTGCTTGAAGCGGTGCCTGGATGGAAATCGACGACTTGAGGTATCCTACTGGAAAATCACCACATGGAATACGTAAATCAACTGTTAAACCATTTTCAATAGCAAACTGTTAGTCATTACCAGATGGTAAACAACAATACTTGGATGTGCATCCCACTTAGCAAGTCGTTTATCAATGTCATTATCCATCTATTACCCATATTTCATCCGATATGTATTCCACATATATCTAGGGATATAACCCATTTACTAAGTGGGATGCACCCCCAAGTAGGGACTTAATGGGATTTCATGGGGAGATAAATAAACCAACCAAGCAACATAGAATGTTTGATGAGCCAAGAAAGAATTTGTGGCATTTTTTTTGTAATCATCAAATTTGGAATACGCTAGTTTCAGACAACGCCAAATGATTGATGAACCAAGAAAAATGGAGGAATTGTCCAGTTTAATTCAAAGAAATTGTGAGTTCGGAAACTGGGAGACTGAATGATGAAGATGGCGCATGTTGACCAACTCAACTTGAATGTGGGTTCGACATTTTTTAACCAGGAACACTCACATAAATGGGGGTTTCCTAAAATGGCGGTACCCCAAATCATCCCAAACTAGAGGATTTTGGATGCTTTTGGAATTGAAACCTATGGTTTCGGGAATCCCCCATTTTAAGAAACATTCAAATGCCAAAAATACAATGGCCTATCAGATACAGTTGGAAAGGGCGGCATTCCAGGCATTGTAGAGGCCGCATGCAACGAATTTACGTGTGACGATTGGTATGCCAATTTGACATGGCCATGATTGGCCATGGATGCTTGAAGAATATGAAAAGATGCAGATCAAGAAGAAAACTGATTGGTGGTTTAGAACATTTTTTCCATTCAGTTGGGAATGTCATCATCTCAACTGACCAACTCATATTTTTCAGAAGGGTAGGTATACCACCAACCAGTTTGTAATTTTCATGGTTAATAATGGTGAAAGATGGCTATTAATTAATGGTTAATCAGTGGCTCAACCACCAACCAGAGAAAAACTTCCCATGACCATCCCATGATTGGCAAAGGATCGAAAAGTTCATGGTTTTTTTTCCTCCAGCGCATGGGCGCATTGTCTCCATGGTTGACCATCAAGGTTATTACAATTATGAAAATCCATGGTTACCCTCTGGTTATGTAACATAGCCATGGAAAATGCCCCATTTATAGATGATTTTCCCATTAATACCTCCATTTATAAGGGATTTTCCATGGCTATGTTAAATAACCAGATGGTAAATAGGCAATATTATGTAATATCAATCCAATATGTAATTACAATTATGTTGGTTATTTATTAATCCATGGTTATTACAATTATTATTCCATAGTAATTATTATGCCAATTATAATAATAATGTTACCTCTGGTGAATAATGGTGGACCATCAACATAATGAAGCAAAATGGTGGACCACACGGCTCATCCCATGCATCGTAAATGGCTAACCCCCAGTTAGATGAACGGAAAATGGCCCCCCTTGTTAACCACATCCCATATAAACCATGGATAAGGGTATAATAAACGGAATATAATTTTATAACCCATCAATGTAGATATGGGTATGGATCAATACCTATTAATACCATTTTTAGGGGGATCAATATCCATAAATCCCAGCTATTTTGATGTGTACTACAGGGGTACCAGGGTTTTGACACACTGCCATATATGGGATGAACATATGGTCTCGTATGGTCTACATCAATGGATATCATCCACTGAGAAAATACGTGGCTTTGGCCCTTCCGAGTCGCTGTATCCAAAAAACGAAGAGATTGGTTCAACCAAAAAAAGGCATTCGTAGAAGGTGTTTCCCCAATTGGTTAATGATGGTTAATGAATAATAGTGGGTGAATAGTGGTTGATAATGGGATTAATATGGATATACCCTCTGGTAATGACTAACAGTTTGCTATTGAAGATAGCCATAGAAATAGTTGATTTTCCTACTAATAGCATGGTGATTTTCCATAGCTATGTTAATTTACCCGGGGGTACTTGGCAAAGTTGGTCACCAGGTTGACTATTGACTATGGTTTGTGGATGTTTGTTTAATGGCCATGCAACAGGAATTGATTTATTGGAGGTACCTACCATATATTTTTGGCCTATGTAAGGGAATATCCCAGCAAAATATTGCCTTATATGGTACAGTACCTCAATTGTAGGATCCTGGAGTTCCCATTGAATTGTGGTAGATGTGGCAATAGTTCATGGGGCGTTTAAACCAGCATGTAACCGCTTTGGGCTACACTCGGCTAAGCCCAGCATCATTTTCAGAGGGTCAATCCAATGAACAATTGGGGTGAACTAGCCCAGTTAGTAGATATCAGATTGCTGGTGATTTTTCATTGTATCCCAAAGAAAACACGAAAACAATGTTTGAGTTTATACCTCTATGCTAACTATTACTGGAGACTATTCCACTATGAACCCTCAGTAAAGATCATAAAGATCCGAGGGTTCAGTTCCAGTTCATCATTTTCCGGATTGAAATTGCAATGACTTGGGGGTATTACTACTCGATGTTTGAGACAATATATGGTAAATTCGAATTAATTTTGCCATGTCAATCCCCATTGATTCCATCATTTACTCTTTCAGCCTCCTGTTCTTGATGTTTAAAAGACTATATGACTATACCCACAGGATCCATGTATGCTATATATGGTAACATTTACCATCAATATACCCCAAATGTTAGCATATATACCATACTCGGATCCTATGACTATATGACTTGTTAGATTCATGGAGTTCCTTTCACAGTAGCCTTTCTAAGATGCAGTCCGCATCGTTGACTGCGCTGGAGAAGAAGCAATTAGACTGCCAGGGCATTTGCAACATTGCGCCTTGGTAGTTGATCTTGGAATCTTGGGTGGCTTCGTGGCTTCGTGCACTTCCAGTTGTAAGATCTTTTTTTCGCGGATATGGAGGTTTCCTGAGTCATGGGGGTACCCCTAGTTTTCATCCTTTTTTTGTTGGGATTTTCCATGAAAAAATCACCATCCAATGCTCGCTTGGGGTATCCCCATGACAAGTCGGAAACCCCCATATCCCAACTTATAGGGCTTCAAAAACCCATGGTGAACAACCCAGTTCTGTTCAGCGAAACACTGCACTGCAAAGGGTTGTACTTTCATCTATAGATATCTATAGCAAAGGGTTGTACATGCTGTTGCCATGTTTGGGTCAGCCAGAAGATGCTGTTGCATGCTATGTCTTCAATCTGCAGTTTGTTGTACATAGATGGGTTCCCATCTTTGCGATAGATAAATGGGCAACTTGAGGACTTGTCTGAAACTGTGGTCATTGCTGGGCAAAGACTCCCACTAACCTGTGATCTGTAAGCAGCATGATGCACTGATTTCTCCGCAGGCTGTTGACCCACCACTTAAGGATGAGGTACTTGTGGATGCATCCCATGCATAAATGGAAAACAGTCACAGTTATTATATAGATTCATATCCCCACTTGTATATGGGATTATTATATATGCGTTATATACATATTATATATAATATAATATATATATATATATATATATTAGTGTGTGGATTAAAAACAACGGATCCGAAGTGGGATGCACGTCCGAGTACTCAAAATGAGATGTTCTTTTCAAGGGAAAGTGATGATAGACCTGTGGATTTTTTTTTGGTAGACTTTCTTGTCTTGGACAAAGCCATGTATTCAACAAAAAATTTCAGGGATATGGGTATGGGTCAATGCCTATAGATACATTTTTAGTGGGATGAACATCCATTTACCAGCTATTTTGGGCTTCACTAGGTACCAGGGTTTTGACCCATCCCCATATGAACAAGAGTGCTTTTGCAGGGAAAATTCATCAAAACATAATGTGTTGAGCACTGTAGGGAAAGGCAATTGCCGGGTTTTTTGAATTGACTGCCCATGTCGAGACCCAGCTCGATCCAACCAACGGGGAAATGATTAAACTGATTAAACCACCTTTGGAGGGTGTTTACATAATTTTACCACTATCACTGGATTGGTTGAAGGGAAAATCTACAGGAAACCCTTAGGGTTTTCCTACAAATTTCTCTTCAACCAATCCAATGAGAAATGAGTAGTAAAATGACCAATTTCCCAAATTACCATCCTTTTACAAGGGCTGTTGGGAACAAGCCTGCATCTTGTTGATGATATTCTTCATGTGTTGTCCGAACATCCTGGTTTTTGAACGAAGACCGCTCCTAGCTGTCTTTGGTGATGAACAAATAGCACCTGTCTACCCAACCTGGCAATTTCAAATAGCTATGGAAAATGGTGACGTTTAGTAGGTAAATTATCTAAACAATGGGAATTATGTGGAATCCACATATATATATATATATTATACAGTGAGGAATAGCAATAATATTAATAGCAGAACTAATAATAACAAACAAAAAAATAATGATAATAGTAATTATATTTTAGATTACCATCTGGTTATTTAACAGTTAGCCATGGAAAGATCCACCATGCTATTAAGTTCGGTAAACCATCTATTTCTATGGGCCATGGCTTCCATGGGCGAACCCATCGCCTTTTGAGGCCTGGAGCTTCGCAACCTTTTCGACGGCCGGGCCACTGACGCTGGCTCTTTCGACCCTTGGCGAGTCGATGGACACGTTGCGACGCCACGCGGGGCCCTGGGGCCCTGGGGTGACAACTGATGGGATTTTCATGGGATTTTAACCATGAAAACATGGTATTTGATAGAATTAGCAGCGAGATATGATGGAAGAGATGGGGAAGTGTTGCAATAATTTTCAGTTTATAATTGGTTTATTAAATGGTTATCAACTGGTATGCACATCCAAGGTACTCAAAATATCTCAAAATCCCTTGGAAACGAGTGCTAACATGTGGGATTCCCTGCTTAAAACCCTGAGACATGGGGCTTTTAACAGCAAAATCTGGGTCAAAATTTGTTAGATACTTCAGTTGGTTGGTGGTTTCTCAATCATTTTTTTTCCATAATATATGGGATAATCCTTCCCATTGACCATTATTTTTCAAGATGGTTATTGCACCACCAACCAGTCAGTACTTTAACTTTTTGCTACTGTGAATGGAAGAAATCCTGCACCACATTGGATGGTTGAAACCCTGTAAATAACGATATAAACCACCCATGAACTGGTGCAGGATTTCTTCCATCCACAGTATCAATGGTAAAATGTACTACAAGGTGGTGCCCCCCAGTTATAAGTTGGTTTATAATCCCATTAACTATAGATATATCACCTATAAACCATAGTTATTGGAGTTATGTGCACCAACTTAGCTATCTAGGGGGGACCACCTTGTAACTAACTAGCTAGAAAGTTATTTTTTCTTGGCAGGTATCCAAGCAATTGGGTCAACATGTTTAGCAAGGCAATCGCATCAAACACCTTTTTGTTTACCAAGAACTGCTGTGGTGAAGCGGTGTTACACATACCCTCTGGTAAACATACAAAAAACTATGGGAAATCGCCATTTTAAATTCATTTTTCATGGGTAAATCAACTGTAAATCAGCATTTTCAATAGCAAACTGTTTGTTTACCAGAGGCTATATCCATATTAATCCCATTATCAACCACTATAAAAACCCACTATTATTCATTAACCATCATTAACCACCAGTAAAGCTCCATTATATCATAGCGGCTATGCCGCTTCCCCAACTGGGTTTCCAGAAGGTTCTGCTTGGTGGGTTTTGCACCGTGGATGCACCATGGTGCGTGGCTTTCATGGCCAGATTCACCACAGAAATCCCAAAGAATCCCAAACTGCTTGGTGGTTTGGAACATGGCAAAGAGAATCCTTTACTGGTTGGTGGTATAATCCTTAATTTTCACACGTATATATATATATATATGGCTCATCATTAATTACCATAACTTAATCTGGTTGGTGGTTTCAAACATTTTTTTATTTTCCATTTCATATATGGGATAATCCTTCCTATTGACGAACTCCATCATTTTTCAAGATTGTTATTGCACCATCAACCAGCAAATTACGTTAACAGTCAACAGAGTTGAATATTCCTGTGGAAGAAGTGGCTCTTTTGAACAATGATCCCGAAAACATTCAGAATTCGATCGTGTTTAGTGTTTTGTTTGCTTCATCCACTTAGGTGTGTGTCAACATATTTATATAATTTGTATAACCCCCAAACCCCACAGGTTTTATGAATCAACCTGTATAACTTGTCCTTACATTCTTCGCTTCCTGTTGATCAACCTTGCAATATTCAAGATTTTGTTTGCTTCACCTTCACAGACACTCCACATTGGATATTGAAAAAGACATGCCACAAACCTGAGTAGATACAGTAAACCAGTTGTTTAGGTGATATATATATATATATACAATATAACATTTCACATTATTTCACTAAGTACATGTTATGTATATGTATATATTGCATACTATAGTATCTACTATTTTGTTTACCAGGTTGTACTATAAACAAGAAATACTAATACCATAGTGAATATTATAAATATGTGATATTAATACTATAGTATTATACCATATACCAGGTTAGCTCCACATGTTTGTTGGTTCGCGGCAAGGTCGGCGGCTTTGGCGCAAGCGTCTGAACTGAACCCTCAGGAGCGGTGATTCCGGTGATCTCTGGGAAGCTCAGAAACCATGGTGATGAAGCCGCAATAAGCATAATAGTGAATAGGGGTTAATTATACCCTCTGGTAAATTAACAGTTCGACCCTGAAAATAGCCAACAGTTTTAATGGAAACTAATCTTCCAACCCCAAAAAATGCCAGGGTCTATGTTAATTTACCAGAGGGTACTGATTGTTATAATAATTGTTATGATTCTCAAAGGCTAACCCACTAAGAATGATTGTTTTTCTGATGGTTACTGATGGTTAATGATAATGATTAATGATTGTTATTATAATAGTAGTCAATGTGTCCATTAATAGTGGCTGATAAATGAGTGAATAGTGGCCGAATTCTATGGTTTATGGTAGATATAACGAACTAGTCTGGTTGGTGGTTTCAATCATTTTTTTTCCATAATATATGGGATAATCCTTCCCATTGACTAATATTTTTCAGAGGGGTTGAAACCACCAACCAGTAATGGTTAATGATTGTTATAATAATAGTTAGATTCCATTGATAGTAAATAATAATGGGTGAATAGTGGTTATCATGGGATTTTTGTTTGGATATACCTTGGATGAACCACAACATAACCTTGGCGTTAATAATCTATAAATGGGAATATCTTGGGGATAAACTAGGGATTTAGCTCCCCATCAGCTGGATGGTTTGTTTCATGGAAAATCCTAAAATTGATGGATTGTAGTGGATACCCCCCTTTAAAATGGACACCTCCAAATGGTGACTTAATAAGATTTAGTAGGATGTAACGGAATGTAATGGGAATGTAATGGGAATTTAATGGGATTTAATGGGTTGGTTTATCTTCATTCAACCTGATCTTTGCTGTTGATATCCCATAAGACACCCCATTAAGTACCAAATCTGGTTGTTTGAATCAATACCCCATTGGATATCCCATTAATATCCCATCATAAAACCCCATGTTTACAGCAGCTGGAGCACCACCCCGTACCTGACCGCTTCGAAACCTCAGAGGATCTGACAAACCTCGCGTGGTGTCCTGCGACTTTGCAGTTGGAGGTGGGTTTCGTATGGTTTCGTGGTGTCAATCCATACCCTCTGGTAAATTAACATAGCCATTGAAAATGGCAATTTATAGTGGATTTACCCATAAAAAATTGTGATTTTCCATTGCTATGTTAGTTTACCAGAGGGTACCTCTCATTAGTTTCGTATGGTTTCGTGTGGATGGGGATCATAGCTATCCTGCACCGGTAGATGGTTTGTCCGGGGATCTGGTTGTGGAAATTCTGGGGATCTGCAGGTGATGATCGACCATTTTTGAGGTTTTGGGGTCGTGGCCTGGGAAACACCACGCAAATTGCTGGAGGTTTATAGCCCAAATCATCAATGGTCAATGGCCATGACTCAGGAAACGATTTATTGGAGGTACCTACTAGATATTTTTGGCCTATTTTTTAGGACTATTTGTTTGGGGAATATTCCACAAAATATGGCCTGATATGGTACAGCACCTCCATTTTAGGAAAAAAAAACACCAGAAAATCAGTACTGATTATATGGGAAATCCCAACTACGTATCCCAATATCCCCAGAAAATATGGCTCTGGCTATGATTTTTGAGACTGTGACCGGGTTTTTGGGATTTTTGGGGCCAGATCCGCCAGATTTTGGGGATCCATGGCTTTTCCCAACCAACAGAGTCCACAAAGTCCACCCGGCCTGGTAAACGTTTACAAAAAACTCATGGGAAAGATCCACCATGCATTTTTTGCATGGGGAAATCCACTATTTCGACTGGGTCATTTTCAATAGCTATGTTAAATTACCAGAGGGTATCCAGTATTGAGAGTATTAAATGATTGGTCATACTAGGACCTAGAGCAATCTTTGACATAGCTCAAGATGGGTTTGTTTGAACATGGAGGGGAACATCCTCAAATTCGATGGTTAATCATCGGTTGTCCAAATTACCCTCTGGTTATTTGACATAGACATGGGAAATGGCCCATAGAAATAGATGGTTTACCTATTAAAAATTGTGATTTTCCATGGCTATGTTAAATAACCAGATGGTAACATTGCCATCAAAGTCAATCATCGGTTTTTCAAATTTGATGGAGGCTAATTCACCAATTTTCAGAGACCCATATAACACAGATGAAAGGATCCAACTGCATGTAAACGGACCTGTGGGGAAGGAATGCTCCAATGTATGTTACAAAAGTTGTAGTACCATTGGACAATTTATTTGTGACCAGTCCCAATACCCTAAAAAAATTACGGACGGTACTGGAATGGCCATTTTTTGCCTCCAGATTAGATTATTGGATGCCTTGCACCTTCTGTTCCAGAACCACCTCACAAATTGGCAAATTGGCTTCGTACTTGACGTTGCTGGCTTGATACCACCTCACATTTTGGATCAGGGATGGTCAGGCTGTCGGGCTCCAGCGATGGTTTGGCTGCAATTTTCAGGACGATTTGTTGGTTCTCAAGAAGCAATTCGGGTGTGAAAATGGAGTAGACCGCTCTACATGGCCTCTTCAATTAAGGAAAATGAATGAAAATGATGATTCACCAGTTGTCTGTGGGGTGTTCCTAAAACGTTCAGACACTATGCTCTTTCTATGGCCTATATCCTGGAATGGACGTAGTCGCCTTGTCAGGAGAACAGCTCTTGGGAAGTCCTGTCAGGCGGAAATCGAGAGGGTGGATGAGATCTGATACCCTCTGGTAATCAAACAGGGCAAGGGGAATCCTTTACTGGTTGGTGGTATAATCCTTAATTTCCACGTAAATATACATACATCTATATATATATATATATATGGCTCATCATTAATTACCATAACTTAATCTGGTTGGTGGTTTCAAACATTTTTTTTATGTTCCATCATATATGGGATGTCATCCTTCCCATTGACTCATATTTTTAGATCTGGCCCAAGAACCTCCCAGCCGGTTGATCGGGGCTTGCAAATCCTTGGGCAGTGCTTCAACACGTGTGTTTCTCTAGCCATGGTTTCTGATGCCTTTTTCGAGCTGGAACAACCATTTGATCGTTTATCAGAGGGAATGAGGACAAGTGTTCTTGCAGAAGTAGTCATCCGATGTCCTGGCCATCATGTTTGTCGAACGGCAATCCTCAAACAGACGTTCATCACAGATGCTTTTCTGGAAGAAAGTAAGAGTACCTTCACGATCCTAGATGGGTTAGTGCTTCATGGAAGTCAACATCTTTGGATTACTGTCACGGAGGGAAGTCATATTTTCCAACATGATTGTGTCCATGTGAAATCATTCCATAGAGTGATCGAAGCTTGTTCTGGGATTGGTGCTGTCTCCACCTGTCTCCCCTTTTGTGGTGCCAGCCCAGCGTGTTTCATCGATGCCAATGAGAAGTTTGCAGAATGGCTCCAACATAAAGACATTGCACCTGTCATCCATGGAGACCTTAGCCATCCTGACACAATCAAAGCAGTTGCTGATGTGATCCAAGGCCAACCCACACCCATTAATGGTGGAATAGCTTGTCAGCCATTCAGTTCCCTTGGAGATCGTCGTGAACAGCATGACCCACGCAGTGATTCCTTGCCAGGCCTTTTGAAGATGGGGTTTTACTTACGTAGCCCAGTTTTGGTCCTTGAATGCACTAAGGAAGCTGCCGAGTCGTACTGGGTGCAGAATGTTTTGAAATCTTTTGCTCAGCAAACTGGGTACCATTTGCATCAGAACTTGCTGTCATTGCACCACACATGGCCATCTCACCGAACAAGATGGTGGGCTGTCCTGTCCATGCCGATGCTTGGGATTTCCAACATCCCTGCCATGCCTCAGATGGATTTCATTCCCTCTGTTCGACATTTGATGCAGATCCAAGCCTATCTCACGCCAGATGAGAGCAGTCAATTGAACCTTAGCCTGCATGAACTTCGACACTTTCATGACCAGCCCAAAGGGATTTGTGTATGCATCATTGACACTGCCAAGGCCATGCCGACAGCTACTCATTCATGGGGTAGTCAGTTGGGTCCATGTCACTGCGGTTGTAGGTCCCAGGGTTTTTCATTGGAACGACTTGCCAAAAAAGGGTTGTATGGTGTACTCATTCCCCTCGGAAACATGGTGAAAACTGGCGATGATTGGTTCCATGGAATGAGACCTTCTCATCCAAAGGAGGTCGCTTTGTTGAATGCACTGGACCCGAGGTACCTGGAGACAGACCAATTGTTCTCACTCAAGTTTTTGCTTGCAGGAACAGGGCAACTAGCATCTCCACTGCAAGGGGCCTGGGTTTATTCAAATCTCCTTTTTCAAATGATGAAGAATGGATTTCCGGTTGATGCTCAACCCCCCAGACATGTGATTGCGCAGATGTGTGAAGAACTTCTACATGCCAGAGATGAAACATGGCCACACACAATTCCCACGAAATCCACAGTTCTTTTTGAAAGAGAAATTTGGAAGTTAGATCACCCGCTGACCACCTTACACCCTGATGATGTTGAGAAATTTGCAATTGAGTCGCTTGAAAGCCTGCATGCCTCCCGCAATGCAACGATGCCGCAAGGTCATCATCATGATGAGCCCATGAAACCAGGTGTGATTGGTGGGAATGACCATGTTCCGACCCCAAGCAATGACAGTCATGGCCATGCATTTCAGGATGACAAATCACCAACCAAAACCAAAGCTCTCGCCATGCAGTCTGGTTCAACAGCCGTTGACAGACATGTGAAGAGAGGTGACCTTAGCTTATCTCACAACATTGAGCCAACCAATCATGATCCCCATCATCATGAAGATTCAGATGAGACACCATGTCCTTTTCATGATTTGCACCATTTGCCCAGCTGCGTGGCCCAGGAGAAGATGAGCATAGAGCCTCAAACAGAAGCCGCCCAACCTTGTTCAGGCAGTGTTGAACCGAGCGTCAAGCATTGTGCTCGACCAAGCAGCCTTGCATCCGAGTCCGTGGTATTGCCAGGTCAGTCCATGTCTCTTGTAGGTCCTGCCGTGGATGTCGAGTCCATGTCCTTGTCTGGTCGTGCCGATTGTGTTGCCCCAGAGGTCAGCGCCAAGCTAGGCCCCTTTACCTTGCAAGCGTCCGGTCCCAACCAACTTGCCTCTGTCGAGACTGAGTTTGGAGCATCCGTGTACAGACCCAAAGACCATTTTGGATTTCTGCATCCTAATGTTGAACCGAGTGTCAAGCATTGTGCTCGTCCAAGCAGCCTTGCATCCGAGTCCGTGGTTTCGCCAGGTCAGTCCATGTCTCCTGTAGGTCCTGCCGTGGATGTCGAGTCCCTGTCCTTGTCTGGTCGTGCCGATAGTGTTGCCCCAGGGGTCAGCGCCAAGCCAGGCCCCATTGCCTTGCAAGATTCCGGTCCCGACCAACCTGCCCTTGTTGCGCCTGAGTTTGGAGAATCCGTGTACAGACCCAAAGACCATTTTGGATTTCTGCAGCCTGATGTACAGACAGCTTTCCTGCATACTCCTCCGATAGGCCAACATAGCAAAGCAGAATTGTTCAACAGCCTCTCAGAGGTTGACCCAGGCCAAGCCAGACGTGTCCATGAAGCTCTGTTCAAAGCCAATCAAACCTTGCCTGACTTCAAACACTCGATCATCAAACCTGATGAACAGATGTATGTGCACCAGCGAAAATCCTCCGGAATGCAGGCCACTCCGGATGACAAGAATGCCTGCCCAGATCTCCCAAAACCCGGAATCCAGGCAACTCCGGGAGAACATAATGCCTGGGAGAATCACCAACATGAAAGCACCTCAGTTCCCATTGCGGCCAAGCTGCCCATGCTACCACTTGAACGCCACAGTGAAATTGGCTCCTCAGCTTTGCCTTCTGATGTGAATTGCCTAGTTCAACGAGAAGCGTCAGAGCTTCCCACGCAGACCATGAACAATCTTGCGGAAGATGGAAAAGCCCAGGATCCATGGATTTCCCGTGATCCCTGGTCACAAGCTATTGCATCCGCCAATCACAAGACCAGCAGATCATCAAGTTTGCCATCAGACCCTTCACAACAGCAGATGCATCCGTATCAGCAACATGGAGGTGTGAATCAATTTGCTAGTCGCAAACGGGGATCTCATCCAGGTGACACCAACATACTCAAACGAAGTAGGGCCACTGTCACATCAGAAAGTAACCAAGATCATCACCAAATCAATGATGTGCCACATCCTTTATCATCAGCAAGCACATGTGACTCAGGCAATCAACAGCTTCTGTCTGTGTGGGTAGGTCACGGTGCAGGATCCCTGTACAAAATGTTTGTCAAGCAGGGCACAACTGTTGGTCAAGTGGCCATCGCAGAGGGAAACCTTCTTGAGCTTCCTGAACCTGTCAGAACCTTGGATGCAATGGGCCTTCATTTGCCAGTCTACCGAGAAGTGTTTGACAACCAAATCATCCTTTTCGAAGATGGTACAAAACCTCATTTGATCCAATCCCCTTTCATGGACAACATGTCCCGCCATGATGCGCTCTGGAGTCAGCAAGGTTGGGTTGCTTGTGATGAAATGAAGTTTTATCTGCAAATGATTGGGCAGCCTAATTTAACCAACACGACTCCACCAGTGATTGTGCCGCAAGATGAGGACGGACCAAGACTGATTGAAGAATGGCTCACCATTGGCATGGACAAAATTGGAGCAGGACATACCAGTTTTTCGTTGCACACTGCCTGCCTTTTCAACCAGCATTGGTTTCCGATCTCAGCACTGTTTAACAACGACGAGATTAAGGTAACCACCACGCTGACTGATTTGCCCACTTTGAAGAACTGGATTCAGGTCTCCCTCGGATTTGATGTCCTATTCCAGTATCGTGTGCCAATTGAAAGTTTCCCTGCCGACTGCGGATTTCAAACGATTGCAGCCATCATGGCACATGACCTAGCTGACAGCAGGGCTTATCCCATGAGCTCTGAAGACGCGATCAAGTGGAGACAACAGTTTGCCAATCACCTGGCCAACCAAGGTACAGCAGACCGTTTTGACTACCAAGTGCAGTATGGTGGAGTTGCAGAGCCCCTTGTGACTGAACTATCTGTGCTACTTCAAGCACACGGTGTCAAAGCTGAGAGAGTAGGTGAACTGGCAACTCACCTCATCCAAACTTTTGGCAAACAATCCATCCAGCAGACATTGGGTTCTGCTCGACCATGGGCTGACTTGAAAGCCAAAGCCTCAGCACATCGTCCTCCCATTAAGCTTGTGCTTACAGAGGAATTGCAAAGCCAGATTCATGACAGACTTCAAACTGGAAAGCAGATCGGTAACAAGAAGAACAAGCAAAACAAGCGTGCCAGCCAAACCACCTGGTCCGCACCACGAGCCTCAGAAGTGCAGATCCCCAATGGAATCTTTCAGCAGAGTGACGGAAGCCCTTTGAATCAGATCACACTGCATCAAATGCAGCTCAACCAGAAAGGTGTAGCAGTTGTGAACATCGAAGATGCTCTTCCTTTTCTCCATTTGCAAAAACCGATCAGTGCTGAAGGAATAGGCATGTTAGTCCTTGACTTCCATGACCAAGCCCTTCCTGCTTGCCATCAGATCATCCGTTTTCCTGCGTCTTGTGCCGGAACGCAGGAACCCATGATTCTAACAGCAGCTCTTCTTCAGTTAGGCCAGCAACAAGTCACCCGACTTTTGCCTTCTGATCCAACCGGGATTGAACAGGTTGAAACAGCAGTTGTTAGAGCAGTCATTTACAAAGACCAGTGCACAGTGAACTGGACCACCATGGCTACCAAACCGGTCAAGAACATGTTGGCCTTGGAGCATTTTGACTGTCTCGGCAAGGAAGACATTTTGGATGTATGGGATAGACAACACCTAAGCAAAATGTATCAAAAGGTGAAACCTGAAGAGTCTGACCTGTTTTCGGTTGTCCTCCGTGTGAAAGCATCCAGTCTGTCCAAGTTACTTGAGTCCAACAGCAAAGACGGGATCTATTTTGAGCCCAGACAGCAGACAGAGTGGTCGAGCACCATGTCCTGAACACAGAGTGATTTGGTTGCCAAAGAAGTCCTTTCACGATGTCCTAATTGCTAAGCAGTCAACACACCATGAAACGCACATTGCCAGGAATGGAGATCGATTTGGATTACGGACATCCAGCCAACATGCAGCAGACGTGCACGCCTTGCACAGGCCTGATGTAGCATACCTTGATGGGACCAACACGTCCACATACAGGATTGCACCGCTGCCATTTGGAAGCACAAAACAGTCGATCCAGAAGGTCTTTGACACATGGGAGTGGAATGCACGACCATCTCACTCCCAAGGAATCACTCCTGACAAGAATGGTCTGGTGTGGATTGCACACGCTTCTGAACCACCGAATTTCTTCATTTTCACCATGCAGCATGGAGATGTTTTGATTAGTGAAGTTCAGTCCAGCAAGCCATCAGCCAAGCGAGTGGAAGGAGTACCAGTTGCTTCTGCCAGGACACTCCGACATCTCAATTCCAGTGCGATGGTTGCAGCCAACGTGAGCCATGATATCTCCAAACAAGATCCACTGCAACTCAATGACCCATGGGCTGGAGCAGCCAAAGGCCAAAGTGCCCGATCCACGAGCATCACACCAAGTCAAATGGCATCAATGGAAAACAACGTGGAGAAGAGGCTCAGAGCCACGTTCCAGCAACAGCTCACTGGAACCAAAACTGACGATGCCCCAATGGATGCCCAAGTGGACACCAGAGTAACGCAACTCGAACAACAAGTGAGTTCGTTAACTGACAACCTCAACCAGCTTACAGGTTCCTTGTCGTCATTCAAGCAGCAGCAGCAGCAGACCCATAATGCCCAAGTAGTGCACCAAGTCCAAGCCTTGAAGCAGCAAGCAGAACAACAAGACAACGCAATACGGTCCATTCTCGACCAAAAGATGGAGGAGCAAATGGCGAGAATAGAAATCTTGCTCACCAACAAAAGAACAAAGACTGCTGAATGACAACTTCATTCAAGCCAGATGTTGCACGTGCGAGTCAATGAAGCCGCGATCAAAGCTATCATTTTGACCTTGACTCAAATTCGTATTGGGGAAGCTAAGAATCCCGGGCCTGACCATCAGCCGGGCTTAACATTGGGTGCGGTTAATCCAACAGGGTTACTTCGCAAATCCACATGCTTTTCACAACTCCCTGCTGAATCCAATGTGATCTATGGTATTTGTGAAACTCACCTTTCCCATATGGGAATCAGAAAATTCAAGAGCGAACTTAGGTTTGCCAACAAAAATTTGACCTTTTTCCATGGTGCACCTGCACCTTACCGCTCACAAGCCATATCTGCCGTAGGAGGTACACATGTAGGTACAGGTTTTGCCACCAGCATGCCCAGCCGTAAGATCCAGATGCACTGCACTGAAGACATTTGGAACCAGGCCAGAATGTGCTTGAACACCTTTCTTTGCAATGACGTTTGGATCCATGGCGCTGTCGTCTATGGCTTTGCACATCGAGCATACTCCACAGAAGTCCGCAATGCCACAGATGAGCTCCTGCAGGTTGCCACTACTCACATTGTCCAAAACATGAAAGGGCCTAGGTTCATCATGGGGGATTTCAATCAAGAAGATGGTCTCCTTCAACAACCTCAGATTTGGCAAAAACTAGGATGGCAAGAGGTTCAACATCTCCATCAAGCCCGCTTTGGGGATCCAGTGCAAAAGACTTGTAAACAAAGCACCACCAAGGATTTCATTTGGCTTTCTCCTGAGTTAGTCCAATATTTCAGGCGTGCCGAAGTAATCAATCATGTGTTTCCAGAGCATGGAGCCCTTTTAGCCCATTTCCATTTTTTCGGCCATGACACCTTTTGTCAACTATGGCGCCAGCCCAAGCCGATTCCATGGGAAGACATTAAAGGACCCATCGAGAATGGATGCTTCAGTTTGCCTGACAATATCACCCCAGACAATGGGTGCATCCTAGTAGCCAATGAGTTGGAGAATCGTGTTCATGCATCTCTCCTTAAAGAAGGCAAACCAGGCCTTTTTTACGCCCAGCGTGGAAGATGCCAGACCCTACACACACAGAAAATCAAGAGCCTTTCCAAACCCATCAAAGCCAGCAGGAATGGTGACCTTCGTCCTGAGTTTCAAGGACAGTGTGTACAGCATCAAAAGTGGTTTACCCAACTGCGTCGTCTTGAATCCCTGCAGAGGTTGTATCGCGCATGGCCATGGAACTCCAATCAATCAGTGCATGCACAAAGAGAATGGAGAGCTGTTTTGAATGCCTCAGGGTTTTCTAGCTTCCGTAGATGGTGGTATCAGCTTCCCTCAAAAGCAGACCGAGCGCCAACCTTCCTTCCAGATTCCTTGCCCAATGAACAGGAACTCAGCGCGATCTGCCTCACTGTTCATGCCGAGGTCAGATGGTTTGAGAAGATGTTGCAAACTGATTTGATCACCAAAGCCAAAAACAACAGAGTTCTTAACCCGAATAAAGTTTTTCAGGACTTTGCCAAACCTTCAGTTTCGCCGGTTTGCATTCTTTTGGATGAAGTGGCATCTCGTATCACTGAAGTTGACCATGATGACAATTCCATCACGCTTGACAGACAGTCCAAATTTTGGGATGGTGAACTGATCACGCAAGCCGGACCAGCAACACCCATCATCATTTGTGACGATAAGGTGTGGTTAGATTCCATTGATGGCCTTGTTCCCGGACAGCCAGTCCGACAAGAACGTTTTGTAGGACAGCTCAATGAAATGTTCAACCGTTTTCAACATGAATGGCAGAAGCGTTGGGACCGCCACCTCGATGTGCCAGATGAACAGTGGTCTCCCCTGACCGATTTCTTCTGCCTTGCAAGACCACCAGCGCCTGAAATGACCTACACGCCCATCACCAGAGATCTCTGGACCAAAACTTTAAAACGGAAAAAGCCCAGAGCAAAAGGACCCGACGGTTGGACCAGACAAGATCTCCTTCAACTGCCATTAGACTTGACTGATGCCATACTTGACATGCTGCACGGTATTGAAGCAGGTACCATGCAGTGGCCCAGACAGTGGCTGGTAGGCATCATACATAGTTTAGAGAAACATGAACAGCCTGCTGCAGTAACAGGGTATAGGCCAATTACCATCTTTTCCCTCATTTACAGGACTTGGGCTTCCATACGTTCCCGACAGTTGTTATCCCATTTGGTGAATGAGGTGTCTAGTTATAGTTTCGGCAATTTACCCCAGCGATGCACCACAAACATGTGGATGTACCTGCAGCAGGAGATCGAGACCAACCATGCCTGCGGCCTGACCACCTGCGGAGCCGTGTTAGATGTGGTGAAGTGCTTCAACCACCTGCCAAGACTCCCCTTGTTTGGGGTCCTTAAGCATTTAGGAGCTCCTCCACCAATCTTGAGAGCATGGGCCCAAGCTCTGACTTCCATGGAGAGACGGTTCAGTATCAGAGGTTCAGTTGGTGAAGCCATAAAATCCACGACAGGGTTCGCTGAAGGTTGTTCACTTAGTGTAGTGGCGATGGTGGGGGCAAATGAACTTGTTGCCACATGGATGGCCCACAAAGCCCCGACCACTAATCTCATTTCCTTTGTTGATAACCTTGAGTTGTTCTGCAGAGATCCCCATGAACTCATGCGCAGTACTCAAAAACTTGAAGAAATCCTTTCCTTACTTGACTTGGAGGTTGACAAATCTAAGACCTACCTTTGGTCCACCCACGGTAACTTTAGAAAAGTTTTCCTCAACAATGGTTTTAATGTGAAAACTGCAGCCCGAGACATTGGAGCCCACCTCCAATATTCCAGACAAGCCACCAATTTCACTATAACCAGCAAAATCGAGTCTTTTAAAAATAGATGGAAATCATTGGCACTTTCACCGGCTACCTATAACCAAAAACTCAGAGCAGTCAAAGCAGTTGCGTATCCCAACATGTTACATGGCATTGCCTCCGCACATGTTGGGGACCCTTGGTATGAAGATATTCGCACGGCAGCTGTGCGAGCCTTAGGTGAACACAAGCCTGGATGCTCACCACCCCTGCACCTTAGCCTGTTTGAGCACCCATCAGCTGATCCAGGGTACCATGCACTTTGGACCACAATTTGTGTGTGTCGTCAGTATTTGAATCCAGAGGTGTGCTGGCCCCAGTTTTCATACCTTGTTGCACTGAACCGCAAGAAACCAGACGTTGGCCCTTGTGCAGTCCTGTTGCACAGGTTATCCAAAATCAACTGGAGTTGGGATCATAGTGGTTTTTTCAGAGACGTTTGGGGAAACCCAGTTGATCTCTGGGATCTTCCTCTGCAAGACCTTGCCATACGAGTCACAGAAGCGTGGAGGTACAAAGTTGCATGCGACGTTGCTTCCAGACAAACGTTCGTGGGCCTTGCGAACTGTGATGCAGCCTTCACTCTAGAGAACATGACACCACATGCTCGTGACCGTGCTATCATGAGAAGTGCGATGAATGGCACCTTCTACACAGCAGATCATTTGAAGCACAGGGACACCCCAGGTGATACCAGGTGCAAATTATGCTATGCAGAGGACAGTTTGTACCATAGAAACTGGGAATGCCCTGCCTTGGAATACTGTAGACAGCACGTGTCACCAGCACAGAAAAGTGAGTTGCTCAGTATGGAGCCTGCCACATACTTGCAAGGATGGTTTCCTGTCCCAACTACTTTGAGTCAATTTCGCCAGAAACTGCAACAGTTGCCTGATTTCACAGCCTGTGGAATACAAAACAAACAGCCAATCTCAAACGCCAATGCACTTGTACACTACTTCACTGATGGTAGTTGCATGCACCCGCACGACAAATTCACCAGAGTTTGTGGGTGGGGAGTTGTGAGAGCAAGTCCGACTGACATGTGGGATTTTCAGCCAGTTGCTTCGGGATGTCTTCCCGGCCGACATCAAACCATCATCCGTGCCGAGATAGTTGCAGCAGCCTCTGCAGCTCATGAAGCTGTCAAAGAAGGCCACCCCTTTTGCATTTGGTCTGATAATAAGCGGGTTGTTTCACTTTTGACCATCATGTTGTCCAACCCAGACCGTGTTTGGGGCAATAAAACGTGTAACCATGATGTAGTCAATATGCTTGCCTCCACAATCCGTGATGCGCGTGACCTTTTCCAAGGTGTGTACAAAGTAGCCAGCCACCAGCAGGTCACAGCAATAAATGACCCAGTAGAAAGATGGTGCTTTCAGGGAAACGAATCAGCTGACAGACTAGCTGCACAAGCTTTCCAATCTCAACCTGATCTCATGCGATGTTGGGTTCAGTTATGCCATGAGATGGATGCTAGGCGTGATTTGCGCAATGCCATGCATAAACTTTTGCTCAGTATAGGGTTGGAATGCTTAGTCAAGATCCAGAAACAGTCGCCTCAACACCCACCTGCGGCCAAACAACGAAGTGACCCGATTGACATGAGTCAATGGATGCTACCTGCTGTTCTGCCTCTTGAAGCGAAACCTTACATGATCAAAGAAACGCCTGCTGTGATTCAATGGATAACCAACCTTCATGATCCGCATGCTCCGGTTCAGCGTTGGTCATGGTGGCAACTCTTTTTAGATGCTTGGTTGAATATACCGGAGTTTGGGCCATGGTACCACGTTTCTCAGAAGTGCTGGAAAAGCGGAGCAACCCAGCCTCCAGAGACATTTCAGAGGAAGGCCAGATGGTTTTCCAAATACCTTGCCAAACTTTTCAAAGCATGTACAATTGACTTGCCCATGCGGCACGCAATGCCTTGTGACTCAGCGATAGCCTTTTGGACCTCCACACTGACAGTCCGTGCACCAGTCAAACGTACAGAGACCCTTGACATTTGGTTCAGTCAGTTTTTTCCTTGCGCAGTCAAAACGGCAGATCTACGTACGATCAACATGTGAGCAGTGGTTCTACACCATGGATCAGGTCTGTGCCCATTGGGGTTTTCTTGGGCGGTCACCACGTCCGCTGGCTAATACAGCCGTCGTGTTGACTCTTGCGAAAGAGCGAAAGAGTGACTCATATTTTTCAAGATGGCTAAAACATGTTAAAACCACCAACCAGTCTATAAATGGAGGGTTTTTCATGGGAACAATGCCTGTTTTCATGGGGATTTATTGGGGATATGGATTCAACCAGCTTGACCCACCCGAGTTGCCCAGTGAAGAAAGCTTGGTTTACCACTAAGGGTTGAAAGGACACGGCACCAGATTTGGGGATTTTCAAGGACCAGGATGCAGCAAGTTGGATCACAAGGACTTCCGATGCTGTGGTCTCGGAGGGCCTCATCAAGAAGCGTCCGCAACCGCATTCTCGGACAAGTATGGACAGGGGTCAACTTGCAACTCCCCTATGCAAAATGTAGGGTTGATGATGATTACCAGCAAGGTATCTCTTGATGAGTTGTTTTTGATATGTGTTAGAGTGTTAACCTACAGTAAATTAATATAGGTAGGTGTACATAGATATCAGACTTCAACCATTTATAGATTTCGTACGTAAACCATGGGTGTCCATATCTATGTTAGGTGCCCCCCCAAAGAATATATCATAATGTAACATAGCTAGTGAAAATCAGGATGTTTAATACGTAGCAACATAGCTAGTGGAAATGCATTAAATGTTTGATAAATGTTTAACATACATAGATCATCTATCAATGAACCATTTCCATAGCTATATTAAATCACCAGAGAATATATAGGCACATGGTATGTTCGTTTTGGTGTTTTTTCAATGCTTGTCAAAATCCAGATCTTGTGGATTACATACCATCTTCTTTTATTGAACTTGTTCGTTTAGACACGTTCCCTCGTTGGTGGTTTGGAACATTTTTTTTCCATATATTGTGAATAATCATCCCAACTGACTTTTGTATTTTTCAGAGGGGTAGGTATACCACCAACCAGTTGATGGTTAAAATTCCCGTAATGGTCAACCATAACCACCATTATTAACCACCATTAACCATTATTAACCAGCAACCAGAAACCACCAACCAGAAACCACCAACCAGAATCACTATTATATAATCACCATTAATCACTATTAATCACCAACCAGATCCTTTTTCAAATTCTTGTTTTTGTTGCTTGAGTATTTGTCACTGGTCAACACCACCGGCCGATCGATGTTCCTTTGATTGCTGATTCTGTTTTGGTAGGCCTTCATTATCCGCTTTTGATTGGAGATTGGGAAAACCCAAGTTAGATGAGTGTGCCTGAAAATAATTACAGTATGATACCCCCAAACATCCCGAAACTACCTTGCAATTTGATAATCAACATATTGAGAGTCAAAAACTGGTTAGAAACTAACAATTTCAATTGTCAATAATTTTGATGATTAACATGGAACTACTTACCGGTGCTTAGTAGGGAATGAGGGAATGATCCATCATTACTATCAGTAATAATCCCAGCAACCCCCATTCGCATCCATTCCCTACTAAGCACCAGTAAGATTACCCTCTGGTATTGACAAACATAACTATGGAAAGTCACCATAAAAATCCTGAAATTTCCCATGAAAAATGGTGATTGTCCATAGTCATGTCAAATTACCAGAGGGTCATTCCCTACGAAGCACCAGTAAGATTAAAGATTACGATCAACCGCAAGATCTTGGGGTCCTGGGCTGACAAAGCCACTGGCAGCCAGGTGCTGGAACGAGGCTCGCGGAAGCTGCCGCCCAGCAGCTTGGTGTGATGTTTTTTTTCTCTCAAGCCATTGTAATAAGCATGGAATTAGTTTGCCATTAATTGATAGAGTGTCTTGAATCATTATAGACTTATCCATGGAATAAGATTAGCCCATGAGGATGTAATGGTAATTTCATGGGATTTTATGGGATTTAGTGGAATTCATGGAATTAGTGACCATTATATATTCTGGATGAATTATAATGACCTCAGTGAATGACAGCTAGATTGCGGGGAATCATCCCCGAATGGCTTTATTTCCTATGTTTTCAGGCTAGTGTTTTTTTTTGTAATTCAGACAGATAATTTAAAAAATAAACTTGGGAAATTAACCCATTGATATCGAGTATTTCATGCGATATAATTACATAAGCAACTATCATGGGATAGAATGGATTTTGAGATATTTTATATAATTACATAAGCAACTATCATGGGATAGAATGGATTTTAAGTAAAACATGTAAAAACAATGGGGTGAAATGGTACAGTATTTCCGCATCCACCAGAAGGACTGATGAAATCTGTGAGTGACAAAAAGCCATCAATTTTTGGGGCGCAATGATCTGGATGAAATTCACCAATTTCTACGGTGTTGCTGCAACTGACTCTAGGTACCCTCTGGTAAACATACAAAAAACTATGGAAAATCACCATTTTTAATGGGAAAATCCACTATTTCTATGGTCATTTTCAATAGCTACGTTAAATTACCAGAGGGTAAATTTTATATCTTCAAGGGAGGAATTCGCCTTTTTGTTGCACCTCAAATGATTTGCCTCAAATTTGAGCAGCATTTTGCAGCCTGACTGCTGGTTTTTGTGAAGGGAGCAACACAACGACTTCATGAGTTGACCCATCCCCGGGACTGGAAGGGAAACCAGTCTTCCAAGCCCGATGACTGCCAGGGTCTATATTAATTTACTGGAGGGTAATGGCTGTTATTGGAGATTCATTACAGAAATCAAATGGCAGATAGGTTCGGTATATGTTCGATCTCCAAGTGACTAGAGGGCAAGCTTGTAGCAAAAGTTTTTAAATGATAGGGTGGACATGATTTGAGCCATCAAAAACACCGTGACTGACTGGTGAATATATAAGAACTTTGCATACTTATGCTATCTTGTTGGGGATGATGAGAAGCCATAGGGAAACCATTGGAAACCTACCGTTTTCAACCAGTATTTCATGAGAAAAACATGTATTTTAAGGGCTCGTCCAGGGAACTTGTCTTTCTCTTTTGATGCCAGGGACCATGTTTTGATTTACGGAGGATACCAGTAATTTACGATCTTCTTTGACTATGTGGATATTCCTTGGGTTAACATTGTGCATTCTCAATTCACCGTGTTTCTTCATCTTCGTTTTTTTCTTAGGGGATATGTTGTGTTTGAGATGTGTTTTTCTTCGGGATACATGGACCTATAGTTGACACTCGATTCTTTGCATTCATCTGGGTAAATTATAACGACCTGACTGCGACCTCACTGGAATCATGGTCAATAAGAGAAATCGTCCCTAAATGGCCTTAATCGCAGGTTAGTGAATTACTATAATTTACTCAGGTTCAAGTTTTTTTTAAAATTGTTAATTGAATCATTTTCCATTTCTGAGCAATCATTAGTTTGCAATTTGTTTGGCACACAGTCTAAATGCCTGCTTCAGCAACATTCAAAACTCGGTGCAGAAAGAAACTTACATGCATGCAATATATGTACATAACATATATATATATATAATATAACTAATTTCCTGATTATTTTGGGTAATCTCATTTTTCATTCACATGTCCAAGACATAAATGTTTACCTTCGCTGAGGCGCTTAGCGTGGCCTTCAAGCCAAGGTTGGGGTCACCAAGATGGCATGATCATCTTCTGAGCGTCGTGGAACTAATGATGGGATATAATTGGGATATATCAATGGGATATAATGGGATATATTCTGATTTAATGGATTTTAATGGGATATAACTACTATACTGTATGATATATATATATATACACCCTCTGTTAATCAGTTCCAATGCCAGATGATTTAACAAGCCAAATGGTTCATTCAATTTTCAATTCAGCAGTTTTGAATGGAATGTTCACATGGGATAAGCCATGATAAAGCCATCAAACACGGGGAGTTTATCATGGAACAAACTGCTGGGGGATTTCCAATCGCGGCCCGCCATATTTGATTATCAATTTGGGTAAGTCATTTGACCAACCAACATGTGGATTCAATCGTTATTTTTACCATGTTCAATGGGAATTCAATGCCATAGCCCATCATGAAAATTGGGGGTGTAAGCAACAAACATTTTCGGATGTGATTTTTGCTGATCAATGCTGATAGCATTTTCCACCAACGGTCACCAACCCACGAATCGTAGCTGATATATCCGTGGGGTCCGTGGTTATAATAGGTTATCTGATTGGTGGTGACTGGAACATGAATGGATTATTTTTCCATATATTGGGAATGTCATCATCCCAACTGACGAACTCCATCATTTTTCAGAGGGGTAGGTAGGTATACCACCAACCAGTTGTAGTAGTTGTGTTGGTACGCTCTGGTTTTTTCCAAGATGACGGCAGCTTGGCCTTGAATTCTCGAAGACAAGGGAATGACGCCTCCTGATTCACCGGATTTTCATGGGCTCCATGTTTTTGCTAAACACCCCGAAGATTGATATCTTCAATCTTTGGTGGTGACTGGAACATGAATGGATTATTTTTCCATATATTGGGAAGAATACTCCCAACTGACTTTCATCTTTTTCGGAGGGGTGGCTCAACCACCAACCAGATAGGTTTGATCCCTTAGGCCATGGTCTAACCATGAGCTAAGATGCTGATCAAGATTGATTTAGCGACTTGGGGGTTTGAAGAACAAGATGCATCTGACATCTGATAGCTTGTAATGGTTTGTCCTCATGTTACCCATAAAGCTTGCCACTTTTATTAAGGGTTACCTTCCGGTAGTCAAACACGGCTTGCTAGAAAATTGTCCATTTAGTTCGTTGATTTTCCCAGCTATGAACCCCCCAAAAAAAAAAACAGATTTTCCAGCGGCCCGCGGCCCGCCATGTTTGAGTACCAGAGGGTAAACTTCATGATATCCCATGATATCCCAATAAACCCTCATTATACCACCATGTTTCTTGGTTAAATCATGTTATATCATTGAGTACGGGAGGGTAGCTCATTTCTGTCAATGGATTGGTGGCAAAATCTTCACCTGAAACCCATGGGTTTTTACCATCAAATATAGGGGGTTTCCTCCAGTTTTTCCCATCATCCAATTCTGTGAGGGAATTCAGATCAACGATGATCAACATATAGTTTTCATAGGTTTCCAATCTCTGAATTTCTGGAAAACCATCATCTTGATTCTGGACAAACCATGACATCCCAGGCAGAACCAGCACCATGGCATGGCTTCGGGACGACTTGCTGTCCGTGGCCGGGGAACCGTGACCCAGCAGGGTGCCAACGAGTGGCCGGTGAATCTCCAGTGAATCTCCGTGATGTCCTTGGACTTTCTATCATTTTACCATGGATTCTCCATGTGTTTCCATGATTTGTCCATGGAAAAAATATAGCATGATGTCCATACATGTCCATAGATGTCCATAGTTTATCATGATAGACCAAGATTTTCCATGGATAAACCATGTGTTGCCATGTTTTATCATCATATACCATGATTTTCCATGATTTTCCATGATTTACCTGTATTGACAATGTGGATTTACTGGGATTTACGCGAAAATTACGGGGATGTTCCCTGAGTTTTGGTGCTGTTTCTATCTCTTGTCCACAATTCCTCGGAATATCCCATGGTGATACAAGGTCGGGCCCCAAAATTTTGAGGTTTATATCTATTATATATGTATATATAAGTATATAAGCATCTAATAGTATACATAACTAGGGCTTGAGACTTGAGATAAATATGTAGATATGATATAATACATATATGGTAGATATGTAGATAATCTGATAGATATTACGTATATATATATATATATGCCCATATCTAAATGTATATATATATATAATATATACACCCTCTGGTTATTTAACATAGCCATGGAAAATGGCTCATTTATAGATGATTTTCCCAGCTAGAAACCTCCATTTATCAGGGATTTTCCATGGCTATGTTAAATAATCAGAGGGTATATATAATTGATTATACAATAGTATAACTAGGGCTTGAGACTTGAGATAGATATGTAATATGATACTTTTTTTTATATATACACAGTTTTTTCTACATTTAGACAAACCATCAGAAACCAACAAACATCAAACATCAAACAGATCATATTATATATAAACAGTTTTTTCTTTTTATGTATATTGTTATGATAAATAGTTTTTTTTGTGGTTTCCAAAGCAACACACATCAACCATCAAACGGGCCGCTGAAGCTGAACCCCGAGGTTCATGCCTTTGCTAACTACAGCCGGCTCCCCTGGGGATTCGACTGGGATGAACCGATGAACCGGGCGGGTTTTCGGCATGAAAAGAAGGTGATTTCAATGGTGGATTTATAGGGATTTCAATGGGACTTAAGCAACAAAAATGGTGGTTTTATGTTATTTAATGGTGATTTCATGGTGGTTTCAATGGGACTTAATGGGATTTAATGGGACTTGATGGGAATTTGCATTGGAATTTCCATTTCCCAATGGGAAATTGTCAGAATCCATTCGGGGCATCCGGGGAATCCAGTGTTAATCGTGGTGGATTGACCAATGAAACTCATGGATTTGATGAGCTGATGATGGAGGCATTCTCCCAATGGCAAATCCACCAAAAATTGGAGGATGAAGGTTTCCGATTGCGATTTTTTCGGGATGATTTTGGGCATTTTCCTAAGGGCCATGATGGAGACAAATCCAAGTAAAATAAGTAGATGATGTTGTGAGAAAGGAGAATCATCCAAAAATAGATGAGTCTACATTGCGGTGTCATCATGCCGTTGGAAAACCCCCATGGCCTGGAGGTTTATTTTAGAAAAAAAAACATCGAAGAAAGTTGGAGATGTTCCGTTGCCATGTTTATTTTTGTGTGGATTACTGTTTGGTGGTGACTGGAACATGAATGGATAATGACTTTCCATATATTGGTAATTTCATTACCCCAACTGACGAACTCATATTTTTCAGAGGGGTGGCTCAACCACCAACCAACCAGATTGTGGTGGTGTGTTATGAACAACTGATAAAACACATGTGGATCAATTGTGTGGTCTTCTGGGTGCAAGACGGAGGTGGATCAGAAATGGGTGTAGAGAACAAAAGATTGAAGAAGGCAAAAGGAACATATTTTTCTGAAGGGTTTCAAAGCGTGCTTGAAATCATCTCCGGAAAAGGCTTGCTGCATAAAATGTTCGCAACCATGGCAGCACAAAGCCGGGGCAAGATCTTCGTGGTTCTCAAATCCAAGGCCGGAGCTGAGTCGCGGGCTGCCCACCAGACGTTGTGCAAACGTTGCGGCAGTACTCCGCGGATTCCCCCTTACAGCCATTGAAATTTGTCTTGATTTTTTGGACAGCAAGAAACCACAAACTATTACGAACAAATGACTATGTGTATATATATATATATACGAAGGAATTCTCAGGCTGCGGCCAGCAGGTGACGGTGCCTTGCACCTCAAAGGAGGTGGCACAGCTTGGAGGTGGAAACGACAGGTGCTAGATCAAATCCTCAATGTTTGCCGCACAGAAACCCATTGATTATATGGAGGTTTCATGAAGTTTCCATAAATGGAGGGGTACCCCAAAATGGATGGTTAATTTCATGGAAAATCCTATAAAAATTGATGATTTAGGGGTACCCATATTTTTGGAAACCTCCATATTGATTTGTCTGAAAATGGGATATTCCCACTTCCCCACTTCCCCAGGAGAACCAATTCTTGATTGATTTTCTGGGTTTTGTCCATCTTATCTAACCATAGATTGATCTATCATCACCCCTCACCGATGTTGATTTTTATGAACTTAGCGACGTAGGCCCAGCCCTCGGATTGGATCATCCATCAGGATACCTCCTAGCCTCACCTCCTAGCCCTGGTTTTGGTGTATAGATTTGTCCGTTTTTCCATGCGTGAATTGGATAATGCATGATTGGATAATTGAGATCATTGGATAATTGGCTTCAAATATCTTGGAATCCATTGATGATTCGGATGGGCCAAGGCAAGCTGACGGAGAGTCTCTATCGTTCCAGCTTGGAAACTCTGAAGACGGCAGCCAAGGACAGTGAGGGGCCGCCGGTTTTGTGTCCAACAAAAACAGGGAATTGATCCAACCATGACGGGGGTAACAATGGGATATAGTGGGAAAATGCGGAACATACCCTCTGGTTATGTCAAGATAGCTATTGAAAATGTACCATTTATAGTTGATTTACCTATTCGAAATGGTGATTTTCAATAGCTTTTTGTATGTTTACCAGAGGGTATATGAAAATAGAAGCAACTTAAAAGATCTGTATGGTTTCCATCATGAGTGATATAGGATGGAATGGGTCAATACCTCTAACATACACCTAGTTTTGGGATGAACATAAGAACCAGATCGCGATTGGGGTGAACAGGTCAGGGCACCAAGCTGTTGAAGTATCACAGTCCCTGTAGATTTCCAACGAAAGTGAAGCTCACAAACTTGATTTGGAGGTTGGGTTTCCCAGCATTGACATGTTTTGAATTCATGTTGAGTTTTAAGCTTTAAAGTAAGACATTGGTGATATCACCCGCAAAACAACGATGTATATATCACAAGCAAACATTCGAATCAAAACCATAAAGATGTACTGGCATGAGCCCTCAGTTGGCAACTGGTTTTAAACTCAAACAAAACTGGAACAGCACAGTTTGTGAAACTGCTGTGTAGTGACGTTAAAGCACCCCAGCTTACATTGTTGGGGTGTACCACTGGTATGGTACATTTCTTTAAGTAAGCATCAGACCACATATATGACATATTCCAATATTTTATTGATTCGCAAAGTATGGAAATTATCAACATGGTTCAATGGTTCTTTACTCTGAATTATCAATATGGAAATTCTAAATGTTTATTATATAAATTATATAGTCTTAAGGTGTTATGTTCCAATATTTGATACAAAATCTCGCAAAGTTCCCCAGAAAACCTTGAGATTGCCGTCAGAATGCATCTAGATGATAAGGCCATGGATGGGGAATATAACTATAATCAACTCTTGGCTTATTCCCCAATCAATAATTATGCATAGTTTAAAACCCTATAAACTAAGTTGGTTTATAATTTCCTTGATATATATATTCAAAGTTATAGGGTTTGATATATATATATATATACATATATATATATATACATATATATATACATATATATATATACATATATATATATACATATATATATATATACATAATTTGGTTGATTCATGGGAATTATTTGCACCAATCTCTATCGTTTGGAGACCCCCATCTTGTAGTGATTGAATTTATGTTGGTGGCCAATATTCGTTACATCTCTACTCAATCGCCATGGATCTCCACATTTCTGGGTTGGATTTATAGGAGAATCCCCTTTGTCGCACAGAGAATCTCTCTCAAATGTCAATTTGGGGCTTTCCATAAATGGTGGATCCCCAAAATGGTTGCTTTACATGGGAAAATCCGATTTTTAAATTGAGGACTTAGGCGTACCTCGATTTGTAAGTGAATCCCCCATTTGTCCCGGTTGATCCCTGTTTTCGAGGTTCTGGACGTCGAGAAGGAAGGCAGGTTTCAGAGGGAGTAATGTCAACCCTGGATTAATGTCACCCCGTTTACGGCTGGTGAATTGGGGGGGTACCATAAAAAAGTAGTGAATGAAATGACTATTGGAGGAGTACCCCCCCTTTTTTCATAAACCATGGTTTAGCAAAATCCGGGTTTGACATTAATGTGGAATGGATGATCCGAAGGCAATTGGGAGTGATTTTTTCTGGATGGATCCTCAAATGGATGTTTTAAGAGGTAACCATTCTAACCCCCTGGATGGTTTACCCTCTGGTTATGTCAAAATAGCTATTGATGTTCCATAGTTATGTTAGTTTGCCAGAGGGTAACAGGTTTCTGATCCTCAAGTTTACAAGACTTGTCTTTTAGAAGCGTATTTCATGGATGATCGCAAGCTGCGGATTTCCTTGGGATGGATTGAAGCCGGCAATCTTTAAAAACACGTGCTTCTCCATGAGAGATGAAGATTTCAGGGAAACCCTATTGAAGCTCCACCCAAGAAACTATGGATAACTATGGAAAATCACCATTCTTCAGAGCTGATTCAAAGAAACTAAAGGGTCTATACTGTATAGCAATGTTGGTTTACTGGAGCATAAATCCCAATATCAGCCATTATCAATCCAGTCAAAGTATTAACCATTGATTAACATCATTTAGCAGAAGTGTTACTTAATTTCCCACTGGCTTGATATGTTTTGTAGTTTACTGGAGAGTACCCACCCAGTTGAAATAAAATGTCTTTTGTCCCCAGCAGTGGTCACCTCCCCGTGCCAAAACCAGGCGCTCTTCCGTTAGCCATGGATGAAATGTCGGTGCTCTTGGAGCAAGGTACACGCCGCTGGGTTCATGGGCGGTAGGGGGAAATAGTTTGTTTTGATGGTTCATAGCTCATTTCCACAGCTTCAATCCTGTCACTGACATATCCCATCTGGGTAAATTATAACGACCTCACTGCGACCTCACTGGAACCATGGTTAGTAAGGGGAATCATCCCCAAATGGCCTTAATTCAGGTTAGTGAAATATTATAATTTACCCAGATCCCATGCACATTTGGAAACTGTCAATAAAATTCAATGAATACTTATGAGTACACATGTATACATCAACAATGATTTAAAACATATGCATAATATAACGCAATAAAACATATGATATAATACAGTATCATCTAACATCATAAGACATGATATAGGAATACATAGTATAGGAATATATCATTTATGAATACATCATAATAATAATGATAACACTAGTAATCAAATATCAATAAATAATCATATATTGTATATAGTATATACATACATTAATATATCCCCGGCAAAGCAATAACGTTTCTGCGTTTTCCGAGACCAGGTGATGTCTACGTCTTGTCGAAAGCTCCTGGTTGGAACGTGTCTGTGGGATGGGATGAAGTCGATACACCCAAGGCGAACCTCAGCGCGGGAGGATATGGTGATTTAATGGCGTTGTCATGGTGATAATTTATGGCGATTTAATGGTGATCTAGCCAAGGATTTAATGCCGATTGAATTGTGAATTGATGTGCGTTCATTGGATTAAATTGTGATTTTATGGAATTTTCATGCTCATTCAATGAGACTCAATCGAATTCAATTGGATATAATGGAATCTGAATGGTCATAATGGATTTATTGGGATTCGGTGGAATTTTAATGATCATTCAATCGGACTTCATGGGATTCACTTGTTAATGGGATTTCATGGTTATTTAATCGGATGATTTAACCATCTATTTCTATGGGGATAAATTGGGAGTATAATCATGTATAGTAGGGATGTGACTAACCAAATGGTTTACCTTCTTGTAATTTGTTACAGGATGACATAGAAAATGCCAATACTTACTAGGTAAATTGCCTTTGAAAAAAATAATGTGTTCCATGGCAAACTGTTCAATTACCAGAGGGTCAATCTTTAGTTTCCATTCATTTCAAGTTTTTTTTGAATTCACTGCAGATATCTTTGCACATAATGTTCACCCACTGGGTTTCAGGCTGAACATGGACCTCTTTTTTCAGCGCCAGCTTGTCCGCTAGGTGGTGAAGAAGTCACGTGGCAAGCACGTGCAGGAGTGCCAGATTAAGAATACCCAACTGGCGGGCGACATCGTGGATTCGTGGGAATATAAATGGGTCAACCTTGGTTTGATACGAACTATAGTACTTTTAATCTGTTGCAATGGTAAAATGAGTCCTAACCAGCAGATATCTAAAATTCACCATGATACTAAGATAATCTATTCCAACTTGGCCCATTCGGATAGTAAACAAATGTTAATAATGCCTACTAATCATGGTTAGTTAATTGAGATTCATAGTGCAGATGAATGATGACTAGTGGAATTGCCAAACATTGCCAAACCATCCCCCATATAGAGGTTTATTGGATTTACCATTTACCCTCCGGTGTCAAGCTGGGACATCCCCTATAAGTAGAGGTTTGACTGGGAAAGTCATCACTAGCCAGATTTGATGATCGGAGGATAAACATGATGTGAATGAGGGATTTAACCACTAAGAATACAACAACTCGGGTTATTGGGAAACCTTGGATGCGTATTGATAACATCTGATAACTTTACTTTACATCTTTCGCGATAATTGCATCTGCAAGTTTCAGGCTCCTTGAGTGCGATGGGCAGACTTTGACGACAACCTGGACATGATGCCCTGGGCAAGAGCTAGGAATTGACGGTCCAAACGACCTCACAACAAGATGTTTCTGCTGCCATTTTTCCCCTACGAATCTGAGCAAATCATGATGAATCCGAGGGAAGTGGAAGTGAGGCCACTTGGAGACATGACGGGATTCTGGCGAAATGTTGGATGGACGGATGGAACTGCCAAAAAAAAGTGATATTCGTTCAAGACAAACACCTATATTGGGATTAAGTTGTTTCTTACGTGTTCTTCATTGATTTCCAAGTATTAACCTCTGGTAATTTAACATAACTAATGGAAAATCACAATTTTTAATGGGAAAATCCACTATAAATGGCCATTTTCAATAGCTATTTTGACATAACCAGAGGGTAACCAAACTCCCAAGTACATTGATATCCCCCCTGGAAGTCGGGTAAGGAGCACCCATTAAGTTGCCAGATCATTTCCTACGGAACCCATCGAGGTTCCATCGGACGCTTCTCACAACGTTGTCATGAATGGGATATATATATATATACCCTCTGGTAATTTAAGATAGTTATTTAAAATGAGCATTTATAGTGGATTTACCCATTGAAAACTGTGATTTTCCATAGTTGGGACTTTGCAACCCTCGATGTTCCAAGTACCACATGGCCGAGAAGTCGTAGGGAAAATCATCGTGCCTAGTTCTTGGTGAATCTTTTGAAGATGTGCAAAGATGATATCCACGTGTCACTTAAATGGGGGTTCTACTACAAATGATTCCAGTAGCTGCAGGACTGGCTGATGCAAAACTTCAACACGTGGCCAGTGGTTAATGATGAAGCAGCACAGCACGGCATTGTTCACCGTTCCTATGGCGGCATGGCATTGGGGAATGTCAACGGATTTCCAAGTGAAGGGGGTGCTGTTTGTTGTCCATCAATGGTTCTCAATATAGATTTCCCAGTTATTGGATGGAACATCAATTTAAAGTACCATCTGGTTATTTAACATAGCCATGGAAAATGGCATATTTATAGATGGTTTACCTATAAATAGCATGGTGATTTTCCATGGCAAACTGTTAGTCATAACCAGATGGTAGTCCAAGTTATTGGTACTCTAAAGAACAAGAGTATTTATGGCTTGGTATTACCCTCTGGTAAATTAACATAGACCCTGAAAATAGCTTAGTTTTAATGAAAACTAATCTTCCAACCCCTATTTGTCAGGGTCTATGTTAATTTACCAGAGGGTATCATTTGAAGTCCCCCCGGCGCCCTTCCATCCGCTGGGTATGTGTAGAATATCCAGCGCGAGGATTTGCAAAGGTTCCACAGAGACAGAATCTCAAGAATTACCCTCTGGTAAACTAACATAACTATGGAAAAACACCATTTTTATGGGTAAATCAAGTATAAATGGCCATGTTCAATAGCTTTTTTTGTATGTTTACCAGAGGGTATCACAGCCAAGAGGAAAACACCACCCTGGATCAAGAGGTTATGCTCATGCAGGACACATCAGGAATTATTCACCACACATCCGCATGCCTACATGAGATGACTTGAAGATAGATGGATGTATGGGTGGGGTTGATGGATGGATAGATAGCTAGACAGATACGTGGGTAGATAGCTATAGATACATAGATAGGTAGGTAGGTAGCTAGATAGGTAGGTAGGTAGGTAGGTAGGTAAATAGATAGGTAGAGAGGTAACTAGGTAAATAGCAAGATGTGTTGACTGATTGCCACATAGTTTAATTTGACAAGAATGAGCTTTGATTAGCCAATATCGGATGGCATGAGCTAAATCAGATGAGTAAAGACATAGGCAAAGCACACAACAGCGGCAAACACACATATTTGAGTAATCTACATATATATATATATACAAGATATTTTTCCACCACATTATTCAACACACATAAATGTAGTAAATAAATATGTACATATATATATACACATAGACACATGTACACTCTCTATATAAATATATGAACCATACTATGTCATAGAATAAAAAAGAAATAGTATACCAGTATACCATAGTAAACACATGTAAATACACATTTATCGTAGTAAATGAATATCATATATGGACACTCTCTCTATTATATCATCTTCCCAGTCCTTCCGCGCCGTGCCACACCTCCGATCTGCCGTTTAGGTTTGGATGTGAACACCTCCGGCGCCCTGCTGTGTTCCAAGACCTACTTGGGCCTCCCGGCTGGGAGTTGAGGGGTCACTATAGTGGACTTAACCATCAGAGATGAGAGTAAATTGGGGATTTTACTAAGAAATATTAGTGGATAGATATGTATATAAATAATAATGATAATAATATTAACATATATATATATGATATGTATATTTTTATATACACATTGTTTTTTGTCAAAATGGGGAATATAGTAATGAACAAATGGTGATTCCACCAAAAGATATATGGGGATATCATACGGATATATTTATATATACAACCATACAACGAAATGATACCCTCTGGTAAACTAACGTAACTATGGAAAATCACCATTTTTAATGGGTAAATCCACTATAAATAGCAATTTTCAATAGCTTTTTGTATGTTTATCAGAGGGTATGTGACTCCTCTGAAAATGAAGTGTATATATAAGATGGCCATCTAACGTGAAATATGATGATTGATCATCCATTTCTTCGGTACCATTTTCAGAGAAACTTATCCTATCTTATACGACTAAGCATACAAAAAACTGATGGGAAAATCACAATTTTTAAGTTTGTAAATCAACTATTTCGACTGGGCCATGGCTTCCAGTTCGCAAAGTGTAAGTCCGTCACCAGAGATGACTACCTTGTCGTTCGAATCCCAGGATTCCTATGTATAACTATCCCACCCCCTATACGTAGCCCAAGGAGAATTGAAAAAATGAGTGGCATCTAAACTGCAACATGTAGGGCTACATGGGGGTGGGATAGTGATTAATGATCATTAATGAGTGGCTGATCATCCGTACTTGTTCAATCATGGAGTATCACTGATGTATCAAAACCAAACACATCTATGTAAAAAAATAAACATGTTTATGTAACTGGAGACAAAAGAAGTAGAACTGAGATCTGTTTGACATAGAATTCCATTTACCCTCTGGTAATCTCTGGTAAACATACAAAAAACTATGGAACATCACCATGTTTCATGGGTAAATTCACTATTTCTATGGGCCATATTCAATAGCTTTTTGTATGTTTACCAGGCCGGGTATAACGTACAGCTGCTACATGTCATCATGGAGATTCAACCTGCCGACCATTTTGGTGACCCAATAAGGGGAATGGATGCTGGAAGACTCACCCTTTTCGTGGCTGTGGTTCATAAGCCCTTGACAAAGCAGTATTGTAATGTATTATCTGGTTGGTGGTTTGGAACATGAATGGATTATGACTTTCCATTCAGTTGGGAAGTTCATAACCCCAACTGACTTTCACTCCATGATTTTTCAGAGGGGTAGCTTGAAACCACCAACCAGATTATCATCATATTACCATGTTATCCCATAATTCACCATATAACCATTGGCTCATCACCCAAAATATCCTCATCGTTGTTGATTCCTCATCATTGGTTCATCATTCTCCTATTTGAATCCCCATGTTTTGGATGGTAAATGCACGATTTCTGGTTTTTTCTACTGAGTTCTACTGTTGTACTCGCCATGATGCCGTGGGGCACCATCCCGACGTCTTCTGACGCGGTCAGTTTAACTCAGTGCAGTTTACAACTTTTTAAGTTCAACTACTGCTGGTTAATAATAATTAGAAATTAGTGAAGTTAATGAATAATTGATAATGGTTCATAATTAATGTTTGATCATGGTTAATAATTGATTTCATGATTCATTATTGAAGTTGACAATGGTTTATAATGTTGATTATGGGGCTTTCACAATTTCAACTATTATAAATTATGGTTAATCATGGTTAAAGATGATTGAGTAGTTCATGTGCACAACACCAATATTTAATAATTAATGGTTCATATCTCCAATTATTCATATCTCCAACGAATTCTTTTTCCGGGAAAAGGGGATTGTCTTTGGGCATTCATCTGTTGTGTAATCACCAGATGAATTTCATGTGACTTGATCATGGCACATATGATTCACAACTACTTGGTGTTTCACCCCAGTCAGGAAGTGGCTTATACCCCATTATATATATATATAATGATATCTATATACCATTAACCATTAGATCAATGGGAATTTCAGGATCCTACAATGGAGGTACTGTACCATACAAGACCATATTTTGTGGGGATATTCTCTTACATAGGCCTAAGAACCAGGCCTTATATATGGTAGGAACCTTCAATTTAGGTTCCTGAATGGCTATTGATATAAACAAAATCGGCTAAATTATATTATTTCACTAACCTGAATTGTTCGGCCATTTGGGGATGATTTCCCTTATTACCCTCCAGTAAATTAACATAGACCCTGCCAGATAGGATTTGGAAGATTAGTTTCCACTAAATAATGGGGGATTTTCAGGGTCGAACTGTTAATTTACCAGAGGGTAATGTGTATTAATCCCTATTGTTGTTTAATACATTCCATTGTAGTACTTCGAGTCCCAATATTAACCGATTAGCCAGGTTACTTGGGGTGCATCCCACCTGGTAAATCGGTTATACCCCCAGTTAGATCCCCTATTGTTGTTGTCAATGGGAATTCCAGGATCCTAAAATGGAGGTACTGTACCATATAAGACCATATTTTGGGGGTATATTCCCTTACATAGGCCTAAAAAATAGGCCTTATATATGGTAGGTACCTCCAATATATCGGTTCCTGAGTCATGGCCATTGATATTGGGAAGTTCATAACCCAGCTGACGAACTCCATCATTTTTCAGAGGTGTGGCGAAAAACCACCAACCATTAAATATGATCCCCTATTGGGGATGATTTTCCTTAAATGTGGGTCTTATGTGGATTATAGTCCATTTGGGGATGATTTCCCTTATTAACCATTAAATATGATCCCTAGATCCCCTATTGGATAAACAATCCACTTGGTTCCTACCAAAATTGGAGATAGATCCCTTGGTTAAATCTTATGATCCCTTGGTGAAATCCACAATCCACTCTGTTTCGCCTCAGGGTGACCGTGGGGTTCACCCGTGGGGTTCACCCGTGGCACTTTTTGGCAAATTATCGCCTCCGGATCCCTCCGGTGTCGGGTCATCCCAATCCCACGTGGAACCCCGGCTAGTAAGGCCCCCGAGTGGAATGATGATGATGATGATGATGATGATGAATGATGATGATGATGATGATGATGATGATGATGATGATGATGATGATGATGATGATGATGATGATATATATATATATGTATAGAGAAATAGATATGTATTATGTATATATATATATATAGAAATAGATATGTATTATGTATATATATATAGAAATAGATATGTATTATGTATATATATATACATAGATATAGATACATAGCTGACATTAACTATGGTTACTAAGTGGAATGAATCATCAAAACTCTTTGTTCAATGGTGATAAAAATACCATTCAATCCCGTAAATTATCACCATTCTTGTTAGTCATATAATTTTACAATGCTATATACATCTCCATTGACCAGGCTAATCCCCACAGGATGGGGCCCCCTAGTTATAAGTTGGTTTATAAACCCCATGCACCATAGTTATCTATAGTTATATCTACCATAAACCATAGTTGAGCCACTTATAAACCAACTTAGCTATCTTGCGGGCCCCATCCTGCAGGCAATTGTCCAATCCCAGGCTACCTCCTCGCGCAGCTTCAGTTTGTTGCTCGGCGCGTGCAGAAGTACTATGCCACTCGACGGTCAAGTTGCGCGAGGTCCTTGCGAACTGGGGGAGTTCACTACTTGGGGGTGCGGGCCCCATTTGGTAAATGGGTCAAACTAAAACCAGTTATATAATGTTATGTACATATATAGACATATATATATACACAATTATATATATACTTATGTGTATATATAGAGCGAGACGCATTCGAAAGTTGTTTTGTCAATCGAGAGAACCATTGGCCTTTGGTCTGTGCAACCTTTCGAGCATGTGAAAGGCTCGCCGCACGGTCCATGCCCCGAGTCCCGTTTGGACCGCTGGATGCCCAGCATTGAAACTTTGCACGGCTGCGAGCAGCAGAACTCCAGGTGCTATCCACAACAGCCAGGAGATCGGAGCATTGTTGCGGAAGACTGGCCACAAGTCCCTAGCACCGGCAAATGTTGGTTCATTCGTACGCAGTATCCCCATATATATATGTATATATATATATGGGTTATCAGGTTATCAACCACTTCCCTTCCAATTCGTGGGATGCACATCCAAGTAACCGATAGGGTACCAGGCGATCGTATAAACATAGATTTCTTAACTATTCAACATACAATTACCATAGTTATATGGGTTCATTGTTAATCAACCAATCTGATTTGACTGAGAATTTATGGGAAAACAACCCCAAAGCCCCATGGTTTTCCATCACCTTTCCTATGACGATGTCCATTTCCAACTTGGTGATCTGAAGCAGCGACAAGATGAGGATAACATGTGGATGGTTGGGAAGACCATGGGCATGTGCATCTTACCCTCTGGTGATGTCAAAATAGCTATTGAAAATGGCCATAGAAATAGTGGATTTTCCCAATAAGAATGGTGATTTTCCATAGTTTTTGTATGTTTACCAGAGGGTAAGGCCCAGGTTGTTTTACTTTAACTCAAAGCTGCCGGCCGAGGGGCCCACGGCTGAGAGGCAGCTGCTTCATTAGTGACATAGCTGGAACTGACACGTGTAATTATAGACCCTCTTCCTATGAATCCAAACTTCAAGAACAATTCAGTCACCCAAGACCTTGAAACTCATTTGGTTTGTCCCAAAGTGAGGTAGTTGTTATGCATCCCCAAAAAGCATTGGAATTTTAAGCATGTCCATAGTACGATGATGTTCTAAATGCTAAAAAACCATGTGATTTTTGGTAACCAGCCATCTTGAACTTATTAGTCAACATTAATCACTATTTTTTAATCCCATAATATCTCAGTTATTAACATATCATGATCATAATATTAGTCACTAATACTGAATTTGCTTTCCGTGGCCAAGGTCTGCGTTTGCGCCGGTCATTTTCCACCACAACGTCGGCTGTTGCTCGATCTATTGCTGGAGAGCACAGTAAGGGACGAACCTCGCAGCATCGTGAGTGAACGAGGCCCCAACAGGACCGAAGCGGAGGATCTTTTGGGAACTTCTCATGGCTGGAAAAACCACGTTTTGCTAATGGAAAAAAAGAAAATATAGGATAAAAATAACTAGAAACGGATGATGTTCCATATTTCTATGGCAAGTTCATGTAGAGTATTTCATTTGTTTCCTGGATTTAACATGATTTAACTATGAAAAATTGCGTTTTTTCATCACCACAGCGGGGGGGTAGACATCCGGTGTCTTAGTCAATGGGTTTTGGGTTTTTCTGCCACTTTTAAGGGATGATCCACAAAGACTGCGTTCATGGGGATGCCGTGAGGATATAGTCAATGGATATAATCAATGGATATAATTTTCACGATACTTTGGATTCAGATCAAATTTGATATACTGTATGATATTATGAATAATATATATAGCCCATATGGATATCATTTGGATCTATTAAAGATAATTTGGATATATGATTAAGGGGATACCCTCTGGTAATTTACCCATTAATAGCATGGTGATTTTCCCATCAGTTATGTATAAATCACCATTTTCCCATGGTTTTCCCATGGTTTTCCCATGGTTTTCCTATAAAAAATGGTGATTTTCCCATCAGTTTTTTGTGAAAATGTTTACGAGGTCGGGTATGTCCCGATTTTTTCGAGGAATTTCGTTGGCCAAGTATTCAGTCTCGCGTCGACTCTTACACTATTTTTACTGGAGTTATTGGGAATACCCTGATTTCAATGGGAATTTCAGGATCCTAAAATGGAGGTACCTACCATATATAAGGCCTATATAAGGGCTATGTAAGGGGATATCCCCCCAAAATATGGCCTTATATGGTACAGTACCTCCATTTTAGGATCCTGGAATTCCCATTGATGGTTGATTGGTTTTCATAGCAAGTTATACTATCTAATTTATTGGGGATTATTGCAATTCATATTGGGGAAGCCAAATAAAAACCAACTAGTAAAATGAGATGGGATAGGAGTATGTTCAATCGCTCACTGGTGTTTCCCCCTGGTAAACATGCAAAAAACTATGGAAGATCACAAATTTCAATGGGTACCCTCTGGCTATTTAACATAGCTACTGAAAATGACCCATTTATAGTTGTATTACCAATTAAAAATGGGAATTTTCCATAGCTATGTTATGTCCTCGGAGGATGCACAAACAGATACAAAAAGTATCTATACAATTTTATATATATATATATAGAAATTCATGTACACGCATATATATATATATATCCACACATATATAATTATATTTTCGCAGTATATATTAATATATTTAGTTATATACATATGTACGTGGATTGCATGGATGTATTTGATTACACACGTATATGTGGATTTATGTGGATATATATATGTGTGTGTGTGTGGTAGATGTGCTGATCCCGATGTTTCACATGTGAATACGGGTGATGGTGCACACTGATGCAGTTCAACACATGTTGCAATGCAGGTGGCCTTGGCCTGTGCGCCTGTTTTGCATCGATCATTGGCTTTGGTCCACAGATGCGAAACAGCATTGACGGGCTTCATCGCAATTGACCTCTTTCGTCAAGTTGCCGATGGCTTGTGCCAAGCGAGACGATTACCAAAGGGATCACTGTTCATGGCTGGCCAAACTTCATCCACACTCCAGCTCTGCGCGCTCACAACAGCAATCATGTGCATCACCAAGCATGAGACTTGGAATCCCTGGAGTGGCGGACATGGCAGGGCATCCGAACTGTCGGTGGAACAGCATTTTGGCTGTTGCAGACAGCAGAGTCCCAATAGTCAGCTGTCTGCCCGAGGGTACTGGCTGGCCAGTGCCCGGCAAACATTCCGAATGGCTAAAGTTCTGGCAAAGCAGGTGTCTGTGACGAAGAACGTGCCTCCTTTGACTCCTGAGCAGTTCCTTGGGATTGATTTGTAGCAATTTGTAGCCAATCCCTCTCGTGAATGTCAGTTTGTACTGCTCCATACTGCTCCATAAGGATGCATCACTATAGAACAGGGGGGTAGAGTGAATGTCATTGGGGCTCCATTGGACCCTCCTAAGCCTGGTACTGGATGTATCATAGGGATCAAGGCATCCGATCTTAGGAAACGCAAAAGGGGAACGGTATCGCCTACATCGGTCACGTAGTTTTATATATTTAATTTGTTTATTTGTTTTTTAAAAATTATTGATTTATTTATTTATTTATTTTTATTTATTGATTTATTTATGTTTTTATTTATTCATTTCTTTATTATTGTTTTTTAATTTATTCATTTATTTATTTACTTATTGTTGGTTGTATCATCTGTGTAACTAAGTGTGTGATCAAGGAAACTTCCACTGAATTGGGATATGTGTATATTGGTGTATATATATATATATATGTATATATTATAGTACGTTTTGTTCATGTATTTATGGTGTTCTTGTGTGGTCAGTATATACCCTCCGATATTTTATCATAGCTATAGACATTCCAGCATTTTTCGGTAAACCATCTATCCATGGTCCATTTTCCATAGCTATGTCACATTCACAGATTGTAAATTCCCAAGGTTTCATGATATTTCCATTATGCCCCCATTCAGTCTCCTTATCTCCATATTGTTGATTATAATTATTCTCCATTATATCCCCAATGTTTCATGAATAAGAATAACCATTGATGAACCAGTTATGAATCACTTAATATATATATATATCAATCCCTATTAATCATTATTAGTCACTACGAATCACTATTTGTTAACCTTGTAGAATAATCTCTGACTCAATTATTATACCAGCTTTGAAGTGGGATGATCAATCTCCGCAAGTCGAAACCCTGTATTTTGGCAGGCCGCTACTCCAAGACGGAAGTGGTGAGCTCCGTTCATCTCCGATGCGCGGCTGAATGGGAAAGCCGGGGCGGCTTAGCCGTTTTGTCAAGAAAACATAGCTGGCTGGTGGTTTGGAACATGTTTTATTTTCCCCAATAGTTGGGATGATGATCCAATCTGACGAACTCCATCATTTTTCAAGGGGGTAGGTATACCACCAACCAGATAGGGATTCAACCAACAAAAACCAGGGAGGTAACAGACCCAGATCGGGATTTTCACCCAAATTGGGATCTTATGGGTTTTGACCAACGAAATTCGTGGCATTTGATGGATGTTTAAGCCACAAAAATGAATATGTTGATTTAGTTTGTGGATTCTAAATCAACAACTATGGAAAGTATGGAGAGTTAACTAACAGAACGAACAAAGAATGACATCCAGCCTTCTAAAATGGGGACATGGCTGCGTAGGTTTCTCCAAAAATGGAATATATCCAAAAAATGCGCATTTGAATTGTTAGCTAAGTATACATTTACTGGTTGATGGTGTAATCCTTAATTTCCATATATATATATTTATATGCCTCATCATTAATTACCATAACTTAATCTGGTTGGTGGTTTGGAACATGAATTTTATGTTCCATTTTTTGGGGGGGATAATCCTTCCCATTGACGAACTCATATTTTTCAAGATGGTTAAAACCACCAACCAGATTAGTTAGTTAAAGTATAGGAAATAGAGTAGAACAGACCATCGATCATCACAGGTACTGTTAAGAGTAGCTTGTTCATTTTTTGGCCCACATCCATTTGGGTGTTTCCCAAGAAAGGTACCCCGAACCGTTGGTTTCCCCGTTTAAGAATACCAGGAAATTGGATGAAGAAACTTACCAAACAAAAGCTTCTCGTTAGAAACTATCAGTAAAAGCATGGGTTTCGATACTAAAACGGTCTCATGTTCGATGATTTTGGAGGTAACACCCCACTAAAAACAGATGATTTCCCATTTCAAACCTTCTTTGAGGATTTGCCAGCCATGTTTGAAATCGGAGGATCAATTGGAGTTTTTTTGGGGTTCCCCATTTTGGTTCCCCATTTTGGGACACCGTTGGCCACCGTTGGCCACGCGCACACGTTGGGCCGTTGGGCGTGTCGAGCTTTCAGGAGTGGATGAGTTGACTGTGAGTTTGCTTCAGGCCGTGAGAGAATCGGAGATTTTGATCATAGGGGAATGAAGATCTCTAAATCCCATCTATTTTGATGTAAACCATGGGTATAATATATATATATATATCATATATATATATATTTAAAAAAATATATGATATATATATATATCATATATATATATATGATATATATATATATATGATATATATATATTATATTATTATATATATGATATATAAGAATATATATATAATATATCAGAATATATAAAGATATAGGGCTTTGAGCCATTCCATTTCCATATGTGACCTTTTGAGAGCTCCATGGGCAGTAGGACCGGCTAGGATGGCTATACTGACGCATCAGTCTCTCAGTCCCTGTTGACTGTACCAGAATTGAGTACAACCAGCAGCTAGCCACAATTGCTTGATGATCCCAGTTGACCATGTTTTCTCGAGTTTGAACCGCCAACCAACACACCTGACGGCATTCGCATATTGCAGGGAGGGCATTCTCAGTGTTTGGCTACCCCTGCATGACAACATCACCGTTGCTGACTGGTGGCTGAGAAGAGATGGTGCTTTTTCGGCTGTTGAAGGACAAAGCCTGCAGTAGCACAACCTGACCCATCGACAGGATCCAAGTCTTCGGACAAAGAATTTTATCCTGGTTGGTGGTTTGGAATGTGAATTTTATGTTCCATATGTTTTTTGGATGTCATCCTTCCCATTGACGAACTCCATCATTTTGAAGATGGTTATTGCACCACCAATCCTTTATGGTTACCACCATTAATCTACCATTTAACCACCATTAATCCACCATTCATCCACCATTCATCCATTCCTTTATGGATGCTTATGGTTGGTTTAACCACCATTTTTACCCATCCATTGCTGCAACATGTCACCGACATTTACCTTGGTTGAATCATGTCGAATCACCGAGTCCCATGATTCATTGGATTGGTTTAAGGGAAAATCTTAACCGGAAACCATTGATTTTCCCATGAAATATGGGGCTTTCCTGTACATTTTCCCTTAAACCAATCCATTGTATGTAACCAGCGCAAAGTTGCTGGTCACTTTGATTGTAGCAGACCTAATACTTCTGCATTTGCATCGGTTTGCTTGCTGTTCACCCTAACATATATATATATATACAGTATATATATATGTAGATGATTTGCATCATACAAAAATTGGTTTTCGCATATATCACATCTCAGAACACATATTTGTTGTAAGTTATATCCGATATATTTCTGGTGATATTTTTCTGGACTAATCCCTCAGTTTTTTTCACACCCAGAAGCCATGGTTTTTCGTAGGGCTGTTTGAAACCACGAATAGTTCAATGGATTGGTTTAAGGGAAAATATACAGGAAACCATGGTTTTTACCGTCAAATATAGGGGTTTCCTGTAAATTTTCCCATCATCCAATTCTATGAATATTTGAAGGAACAGAATGGGAGTCTTAAGAAATATTTTGAGGGGATGGGATGACGATAGACACAGTTTCTTCGCCAGGTCCGCTTGCATACCGGCCGTCGGCATCAAATCCGTGCGCATTTGGCGCATGAAGGGCATCCCTTGCTCGGTCTGCGGCTGAGTGGGACAGTTGGGAATGCAAACTTTGGAGGGTTCCACTAGGAGACGATGTGACAGCATCATTGGCCATTGGAATTCAACTAGTCAGGTGGTCCCGAGAAGGGTTTATGGATAGGGCTTACTAAGCACCAACAACCACTAGTAAGGTTTGGGGGGTGATTGAATCAGGATAAACATGGCAGTTGAACGATTCAAGCAGCAGAAATGGTGGTTTGACTGCTGGACTATCAACATGGGAGGTTTAACAACCAAAACTGCGGACTCTACCAGCAAAAGCATATTTAGATGCTTCATGTTTTACACATACTCAGCAGCTCAGCAAACAAAACAGATGCTGGATGATGCTGGTCATTGTTGGGAAATCTCAGTGTCTCTGGCACCAAAGGTTGTTCTGGTGAACCTCCAATTCGAATGGTTAAAGCATCGTTTGGTAGTGAACCCCCCCTTGCTGCTGCTGCTTCAACCACCAGTTTTCCTTGAGCCCCCGACCTTGCTGTTGGTGATGTTAGTTGTGTATTTAAACATGTGATGATTGGATTTAATTCGAAGGTGATTTAAAGATATAAATCCACTACATTTAAATCACCAATCATCGTTAGTTTTTTCCAATCGATATGTGTGATGATTCTGACGGATTTAAACACCTGACCATGATTGGATGGTCCAGGAGACAGCAGCTATGGGGGACCTGAAGTCAGCTGGTGCCCGCGCGTCTTCCTGCATGCATCAAGGTAGGGATCGGTGGATGGGTACAGGAAGACCCCCCACTATAGATAGGAAAGATTTTGACGGCTCCTGACCATACATATCAAAAACATTATATATAGTACATATATCACATATATACATATATACATATATACATATATATATATATACATATAGCCCCTTTCAGACAAGCGGAGTGCCGGGGGATGTTCGCCTTGCGAAGTATGCACGCGGGGGGTTCATGAAATTTCAGCTGCTTCATAAAGCTGTTGCTGGCCTGCTGGGATCATGCGCTGGCGTTTTGCTGCTTACAACCCTCATAGTGCGTGGGAATCCTCACGTAAAGAAGAGATTGCAACTGCATTTGCTGGGTATCACGTGTTGGGTTTGTCAGGCACAAAACGAAAACGACACCGAGAGGATCCTGCATGCTGCAAATCACAGGTTGGTACGTTTCACATTTATGAATGGGGGCATTCAGGCAAGTCTGAGCATGCTGCTGGTGTTGCATTGTATCTTCGCAAGCAAGTTTTTCGTGATTACAATGTACGGCGGGTATACGATATTCCTTCTGAATACCAGGGGAGGATGGGCATACTTCGGGTCAAAAGAGGTGACTGTGATTTTTGCTTTATTGTGGCATACCCTTGGGTACATAGGCAGACGGTGGCTGAGCAAACTCGAACAACCAGTTTTTGGAAATACATTGACAAAATTGTATCAGAACTGCCTCATCGCTGTGTTCCTATCATCCTTACAGACTCCAATGCAAAGAATGGGTTATGTCGTGCTGAACATGGTTTGCTTCAGTCTGTTGGGTCCCCTGCTATTGGTCCACTTACACCTGAACTTGAAAACTCTAGCGGGCTTGCTTTCAGACAAATGCTGGAGCGACAACACCTATGTTCAGCTAATTCTTTCCGGGGCCCTGGGCATACATATTTTGGCAATGTGGCTGGGGTCAAATCACGTATTGATCACATTTGTATTCCACAGAGCCTGCTGCCTTGTATTCTTTCATGTGCTGTCATGTATACACTGGGAGAACGTCTGCAACGTGTTTTTGGGCCTGGGAAGCGTGATCACATGCCTGTCAACCTTATTCTACAACATCATTCCCATTTTTCTGGATCTACAAGTAGTCAAAGATGTGTGTGGAATACGAGTCGCCTGGTGGATGGGGTGCTGCGAGGTGACCGGCGGTCTGAGTTGGTTTACCAGGTCAACCAACGATTGGATGACACACATTTGGCACAATATGCAACATTTTCCCCTACACAAGCGGTTCCCTATCCTGACCAGATTTGGACTTCCATTCGGGAAGCAATACGAGAGCCTGCTTGCGCGTTGTATTCCCAACAACAAACCAAACAGTTTGAAAGGCCACGCGACACCGTGGCAGCAATACAAAGACATCAAGATGCTCGGGCAAGCCTTGCTGCCCTCCCTAGAAGTGTTGTTCAAGTTTGCGACCGCGGTCATTCTCACCAGTTTCTGTCGGAGATTTTCTTTCAATGGAAAACATCTGTTCATTTTTTTGCTACGCGAGACGCCAGGGACAAGTTGCTCAAACGAGACAAGCGTCAACATTTGGCCGATCGTATTGTTGAATTTAATTATGCAGTACATGGACATGATGCAGCCAATGTTTGGAAACTGGGACGCTTGTTGTCAGGCTACAAGGTGGGGCCAAAACGCCGAAGGTATGACAAACCACAGGCCTGCCGACCAGAAGCCGCTGACTGGATACAACATTTGTCTCAGGCAGGAAAGGATGGAGGTTGTTCAGCGCAAGAAATCACTTGGGAAACAGTTCAACACAATACCTTGGTTGCTCATCACGCACCTGTTCGCACATATCAACAAGCTCATTCGCTGGCTTTGGCCGATTTGCATAGTGTTTTTTACAAACTCCGCTTACACAAGTTGCGTCGCACTGTACCTGAATGGGCAATTCCTGGTGAAATTTGGCGGCAGTTGGCTTTTCCGAATGTTTTTTATGCACCTCGCCGACTGGGTGTGGGATATTGTGACACGTTGGACAACACTTTGTTTCGCACATGTCTGTACGTTTTGTTTTTGTCAATCCGGCTGTATGATTTTACACCTTTGGAATGGAATCTCAGTCAAACTTTTCAAATCGACAAAGCTAATGGAAAAACTGGTTGCGCCGGCCTCAGAACCATCAATACATTCGAGCCACTGGGAAAAACATATGTCAAATGTCTTTGGGAAAAGGGCGTCCGATCCTGCGATCGACACTGGGCTTCTGGCTACATACAACACAAGTCACGCATCACCCCTATCATGCACCGGCGCATTCTCAAACATCGACTGCGAGCTGTGGGACAGAGCCATTGTGATTCTTTCTATGATGCAACTAATGCTTTCCCCAGTGTTGTACGGAGTGTTTGTGACCAAGTTGTTGATCGTACATGTAGACGCTGCGATGCTAACATTCTTAAACAACGAAACAATACAGCAATACTCTGTATACAGGCAGCTGATGCAAAGGTGTATCTTTGTAATGGTTCAGGATCTTTGCAAGGGGATGGACATGCCGGAGAACAATTCTTGGAACAGTATCACCCCGCAATTGATTACTGGATGGATACACTGGGCCAGACAGAACCGCAGGATTTTCTGGTATATGATCCTGTTTGTGAACAATATGTCGACGCATCTATTTCCACATACGCTGACGATTTGGCGCGAACTGTGGTGTGTGACACAGTGCACGAACTGGTGCACAAACTGCAACATGCTAACAAAGAGCTTTGTACGGTACTGGATACTGTTGGTGTTGCTCAAAATTTGGACAAGCAAGAACATGTACCTTGTTTTGTGGGTTGCCACTCCGATAGCTACACCCGTGAAGTCTTTGCAGGAGAGGTCCTTCCTGGTAAAACCTGTGTTGCTGCTCGTTACTTGGGTTCTTTGCACCACTTCCGTAACAATGATAGTGCTGAAATCGACAACAGAATGCAAAAAGCTGATATTGGATGGTATGCAATGGGTCAGCTCTGGTTTCGGCAAGGACTACGTAGAACAGCCCTTGTTCTTATTTTTAAAGGAATGGTGTATTCAACTCTCATGTCTGGACTGGAAGCGTTGTGTTTGTCACACACTCATGTTGATCGCTTGGACAAATACATACTCAAACGAGGTCGAAAACTCATGCATGGTGCCGCGTGCCACAAGTTCTCCTCTGAGGCAGGTACAAAATACAAGGCTCTCCCGTCATTGGAAATTTGGCGGTTTTTGTATATGGTCCCTGCCCGGATCGAGTTACGCATCCGCCGACTCAAATTTTGGCAGAACGCGGCAAAATTTCCTGAAAAATATTCTTTATTGTTTGCTTGCTTATTTGGTCAGTTTGATTTCGAACAACATTGTTCAATTGACGGCAGTGGAAAGCCGACAGCTACAGCTAATCCTTGGCTTCGGCAGTTTGCCACTGACATTGATGCACTGGGTGAATTGGACTCTGGGACTTTTCTCGCTTCTCAAGTGCAGGGTCGAGTTCTACTCATTTTCTCAACATTTCGTGAAGATTTTCTGCGAATTGATGTCACTGAATTTCGCGCCAAATTTTTGGGGCATGAAATTCCACCTCCTGAATGGGTACCCCCAACTATGGATCCACAAGAGGTTTTCTTGGTTCCTGATGATACTCCTTATGTATGTAATCTGCTGTGTGCAGACGGATCAATGTGTAACCAGAAATTTGCCACCCAAGTGCAGCTGTCTGCCCACATCTTGCATTCTAGAGGTGGCGACCATGGACGTCGTCCCATCTATTCTTTGGCTGCTGTGTCAAATATATGCCCTTGGTGTCGTTGTAAGTATTCAACAAGAGTATCGGCCAGTCATCACATCAAAGCTTCCTTTGAGCGTGGACAGTGTACGGGCAAAGGCTCTGCGTTCAACCCTGGCATTTTGCCTCCCAAGACTTTGCAGTGTCCAGTCTGTCAAGAGGAAAGACATTCGACGGACGATTTGTTGCAGCATATTGCTGCTCACGACACTCCTGCAGCCTTTTTTGCTCGGCAAAATCAATAAGGAGTCAACTGCCATGTCTGCTCCGTCGTGGCTACTTGGTGTTGGCGACGGGGATGGCCCACCGTTTCGCAGACAACGTGTTGATCCCCCAGCCCATGAAATCCATGCCGAGAACCAGAGGAAGCTGACAGTCCTCTTAGCCAAGTCAGTTCTCAAAAATTGCTCTGACATCCGTGAACTGCAGAGCGCAATCCTCACCACCCTGTTGATCCCAAAAGACACCACGGTGGTTGGTGCTATGTCAGCTGCAACACAGGCTCACAACACTAAAGCCACCGAGTTCCGGAAGGATGGAAAAAATCGTGAATGTGATAGCCTTGGTGAACCACATGTTCATGCATGGGCTGCGTTAGTGCATTCCCTCATCGAGTCGAACCATATCACTGCTGAGGAGAAGGAGCTATTGTCCATCCATCTCCAGAATGCAGAGTCGGTGAAAACTCTTGAGCCCAGCATTCTGGTCGCCAAGTGCCGCAAGTGCTTTGATGCCAAGAAAATGCGTCTTACCTTGTGTGTTCACCATTCCGTTGAAAATATCCTCACCGTTGTGACAAAAGCTTTGCAAGGACAAGGTGCAGTTCTGAAAAGAGGAGTTGCTCCACGATCAGGGAATGAAAGAGAAATTCAATCCATGCTAGATGCCTTGAGTGAAATGTGAGATGGCACATGTGAAAAGGCTTCTTCTGAGAGAGTAAACGCTTGGCTTGTACAGCTGCTGCCAGCTTTCGCTTGGAAGTCAGCAGGCCTCCGTACGCAGAGTCACGGCTGTGTAAGTTCCCTGCGGACTGGTCGTGTGCTTTGGCGTTTTTGGGGCCGTGCTCGTGTAAGCCCTTTTGTGGCGCGAGACTGCAGCAACAGCTGTAGTGATCAGCTTCGGGGCAAGAGCCCCCCGCTCGCCCATGAAGATTGGACGCTTCAGAGTGGCGTGAATGAATGAATGATATATATACATATATCACATATATCACATATATCACATATTTACATATACCACATATATCACATATATACATATATACATATATACACATATACATATATATATATCACATATATCACATATATCACATATATCACATATATCACATATAACACATATATCACATATAACACATATATCACATATATCACATATATCACATATATACACATATACATATATACATATATCGTATATATCACATATATCACATATAACACATATATCACATATATCACATATATCACATATATACATATATACATATATCACATATATCACATATAACACATATATCACATATATCACATATATCACATATATACACATATACATTTATACATATATCATATATATCACATATATCACATATATCACATATATACACATATACATATACATGTAGACATATAGACATATATAGACATATATACAGAATTACAAAGACATAAAGGCAAAAAAGACATATATACATATATACATATATACTTATATACTTATATACATATACATATATACATATATCACATATATCACATATAACACATATATCACATATATCACATATATCACATATATACACATATACATATACATGTAGACATATAGACATATATAGACATATATACAGAATTACAAAGACATAAAGGCAAAAAGGCATATATACATATATACATATATACATATATACATATACATATATACATATATACATATATACATATATACATATGTATTTATTTACATATTTACATATACATATGTGCATATATATATAGATAATACACACATATATATATATATATTCATATTTACATATGCATATATGCACGTATGCATTTGTATATATATATATGTAAATATGTACATATACACGTAAGTAGACAATGGTTTCGGGGGTGAACGTGCCGGACACGGTTCATATCCCAACTTTCAAACGTGTTTTGGTAAGAGATGCATGGATTGAAAATTCCAAGGAATCAACTGTTCTAACCTTTGTATCCCACTAAGAATAGTTTATATTTTCCCGTTTCAGTGCGATGTTTGAGGATTAGCTGTTCATATGTGGATATATATATATATTAATAAGAACGATATAAGAATAATACGAATAACCATAAGAAGAATAAAGTAAGAAGAATAGGAAAAATGATAAAGTAATATTAGAAGAGAAGTTTTATCTGCAAAGATAAAAACAATATACATATATAGATCACGTGTAATATGTCTATACACCCGACATGTATTTTACATGGGTCAGTTGGGTAGTTGCCCTCTGTCATACAGGCTGGTGGTGAACATGGAAGAAGCGGGTGGAGAGCTGGACGTCACTTGCCCGTTGCCCGAGGACTTACAGGTGCCCTTCCAGGATCAGCCATCCATTTGACCAACATTGGTGAAATGGCAATGGATATACCCTCTGGTAAACATACAAAAAGCCACCGAAAATGGCCCATTTATAGATGGTTTACCTACTAAAAATGGTGATTTTCCATAGTTCTGTATATGTTTACCAGAGGGTATATATATATATAATCTTGGTATATAATGATTAATGATTAGGATATATTAGGATATATAATCACTATTTTGTGGGTGATATATTCGGTGATATATGGCTATATATGGGATATAACCAGCAATATATGGGAAAAAATGGGAATATATAGCCAATATAATAGCCAATATAATGGGATAATAGATGATAATAGATGATACTTCTGGGTAAAGTTCATCACGACCGAAGCCTGTTCTCCCAAAGCCTGGAATCATGGTGAAAATTTTAGGGAAATCATCCACATGGCTGGCCGAAGAATTCAGGTTAGTAAAATATGATTAAATTTACCCAGATATGTAACTAATGGTGATTAATTGTGATTAATGTTGATTAATGATGCTGATTAATGGTGATTAATGGTGATTAATTACCTAGATTAATAGATGAATGGTGCTTAATATCCATTAATAATGGTATTCATATCCATTAATGGTGCTTAATGCTTGATCTTGATGTATGAATATGGATTACCCTCTGGTAATTGAGCGTAGCTATGTGAATTTTGTAGCCCATTTATTGATACCTATACTGGTTGGTGGTTTGGAACATGACTTTTATTTTTCCATATCTTGGGAATTTCATAATCCCAACTGACGAACTCATATTTTTCAGAGGGGTAGGCTCAACCACCAACCAGTATAAAAATCCAACGATTTTCCAGTTCCCTATTTTTTTTGCCAGAGGGTAAAGCATTTTTCTGGTTAGCAAGTCCCCTTTCTTCGTGGTTTATCCCAGTTATATGGGTACCTCAGCGACGGACCAGTTACGCGTTGTGGGGTGATCTTCCAATTGGGAAAAAACACGAGTGCTTCGTCAATAGGAATGTTCATGCGGATTTGTTTTCGACCACCACAAACTCAAGCAACATCTTTCAATGTTGGTTTAAATATTGGTTAAAAACAGTTTGTTGGTTCAAGATCTTGTTGGTTTTATTGATTACATTTTTAACCAACACACTGTTTTTATTGGATATTGCTTAGCCTGCATATCAATGGGAATTTTAATCACCAAACATACGGAAAACCAACAATTCGTAATTATGAGGTAATGAAGTTGCATATAATGGGAAATACAACCAACTGAATAATTAGGATATTATTAGGATCATATTGTGATCAATTATTATGGTATATAGTACAAAATAATGGACTCTCCCTTGGAACTGTGAATTGGGTAAATTGGAATGGTTTCTTTGATCCAATTCACTGGCAGAGAACCCCATCAACAGTACCAAGGTTTAGCAAGTACTAAATGGTGGTCAATAATGAAATCCCAAGAGGGTTTTAACCCATAGAAAAAAAAATATATATATATATATATACACCCATAGAATCCCATAGAACAATAGATTTGACCTGCAATAATTGGCAAACTACCCTACATGGGTGTGTCTGAACATGGTGTATTCCCTCCAAATGGCAAATTTACTAGGAAAATAATCATGAATCATGGGAATGGGTACCTTGTGTTCACGCAAACCCACATTTTGGGGATTGGGATTTGCTCGTTCTAACTATAAAATAACACTTTCCAGGCCCTTCAACTACTGGCACCATTTTGGTTGATTTGGGCGTGGTTTTTGGGGACCCCACACATTGGGTTTTTTGGGTCACAGTTTGATTGAACCCCAAGCATCCATGCCATGGACATTGCATGGGGTGATCTGACATGATTTATATAGTCATTTAAACCCATGTCAGAAAAAAGTCACTATATTATATTGTTCATATAGTACTTATATATATATATATCGTTTTTAACCAAGTCCATAATATATGTTGATTTATATTTAAACAATAAAAAATTGCACTTATTAACCAACAAGAACTGGCAATGAACCCTCGAAAATGTGAACTTAATGGATACATGAGCAATGAATAATCCCTTCCCCCTAATATTACACACGCCCAGATTAAAAAAAAAAAACACATCGTTGGGACTAAGAATCAGGGTTTTTAATATTAGGGGGATGGGATTAACATGGATTAGCCACCAGTTAACAATGATTATCATAAATCATGAATCATACCCTCTGGTAATGACTAACATAGCTATTGAAAATTGCCCATTTATAGTTGGTTTACCTATTAAAGATGGTGATTTTCCATAGCTATGTTAGTTTACCAGAGGGCAATTAGCCATCATTATCCCCCATAGATGATGTTCCCAGCTATAAACCTCCAATTCGTGGCACATAAAAAACGTGTCGCAGGCAGCTTTGCATCACCTTGAAGCTCTGGATCTACTGGGGCGCAGTGAAAAGGTCGACAATGCACTGCACTGCGCAGGGATCTCCATGAGAAAATCTGGGGATTTCCTAAAATGGGGGATACCCCAATAGCTGGATGGTTTTTAGTGGAAGATCCGAAAATAAAATGGATGATTTAGGGGTACCCATAATATATTGATTTGTCTGAAAATGGAAGATCCTTTTCAAGTGGATGATCTAGGGGTAGCCCTATTTTAGGAAACCACCATATTCCTTGAACCGGACATGGGATTGGGATTTAAGAAGAGGTTTCCCAATCTACCAATAGTGTCAACTCACAGTGTATCCTAAAAGTTGACACTATTGGTAGATTGGGAATTTAAGCAGGGAAAATGATGGTTTCATGAGTTTCATGGTACATTTCACAGAGAATTTCATGGGATAAATGACCAGTTGTAATGGGATATTGCCATAAACTGAAATATCAACCCCTTCACGCTTTACCAACCATCGGTATACAGATGGCTGATCTCGGGGTTTACCGCAGCTCTTATCCATCTTAAGGGGAAGATCAATCAACAAAATGATGATCATCACATGGGAATAGTGACCAAGTGACCGACTCAATGATGAGTTTCCTCGAAAGGAGGCTGAGGATTTGTTCGTTTTTTTTCATCAGCGTCGGAAAGTCAAGATGTGAAAAAGCATTCAACGATTCAACATGGATTTGCTTGGATGTTCATCCCAGTGGTTTTAGAAGCGTGATTCATCGCTGGAACATTTGGATGAGCATTTGGAATAGGAAAATCTCACCTGGATGAGTTTCAATCCCAATGAAACTTATCCTCTGGTAAACGTTTAAATAACTATGGAAAATCACCATTTTCAATGGGTAAATCCACTATTTCTATGGCCATTTTCAATAGCTATGTTAGTCATTACCAGAGGTTATATCTATATCAATCCCATTCTCAACCACTATTCACCCACTATTATTCATTAACCATATTATATGGATATATATATATATTGGGTTCCATGGTTGTTGCACATTTTCCCCACGTTTTTTCTCACCGATTCCAGCGTGTCGCTGAGGTCGGGCTCCTCAGGATGTGGAAGCCGCCCGAGCAGAGGTGCGGGTCCTGCAGTGTGTGCCGGGTGCCAACATTTCCGACAGAACAACGGGGCATTCCTTAAGATTTAATGGGATAAATAGATATAAATAGGGGGTTTAATGGGATATAATGGGATTAATCGGGATTTCATGCGAAAAAATGGGAAAACCCATTATAAACGAAGGTTTTAATGGCATTTTTTCATGGTGATGTAATGATTTACCCATTGAACATGGTGATTTATAGTGGATTTATAGTGGATTTACCCCTGATTTAATGGGATTTTCATGGGATTTTCATGGAATTTCCATGGGATTTTTCCTGGATTTCTTGAGTCGGTTCCACTACGACTGGGGGATTGTTTTTTTAACCCCAAAAAAACCAGTCGTAGTTTAAGGTGTAAAATATCTACTGGGGGATTGTTTCAATCCCAATGAAACTTATCCTCTGGTAAACGTTTAAATAACTATGGGAAATCACCATGCTATTAATGGGAAAATCCACTATTTCAATGGTGATTTTCAATAGCTATGTTAAATGGTTTTTTTAACAACAACAACAACCTAGGTGCAACAACAACCATGGGCCGCTGCACAACAACCAAGTAGTTTATTGTTGTTGTAAGCTACAACATTGGATTGTCGTAACTCCAAGGGGGAACTGTTGTTGTTGTTGTTGTTGCACATTGAATTGTGGGTTGTTTTGGGGGTTCCTTAAGCAACTCCAAGTAGTTTATAGGTGTAAAAAAAATATCTACTGCTGAGGACCAAACCAAAATGAAGATAGTTGGTAGTCTAAGTCCGCAGTCGAAAATATCCCATTTCTAGATGATGTTCACCATCCCCAAGTTGTGAATGACCATCGTCATGTTTGATTATATATATATATACTGGAGGGTAACCAGTGAAATGAAAGAAGATTCAGCAAAAAACACAGGGCGTCACACTAGGAAACATGTGAATATAGGCAGCAAAGTGATATAACATGTGAATATAACCAACAAAAAACAGGATGAATCAGCAACACTTGGGACTTGGGGATATGAGGAGCTGACAGTGTACTGTTGCGTCATAGGAGATGGACAGTCACTGGATGGGACATTGATGACCATAGGTTGTCACCTATCAGAAAGTCACAAAACCAGCAGGAAGGGGCTCTTTAAACATGTATATATAATTTATATATATATATATGCACATTGAAGTATGACAAGTAGAAAACACAAAAACATCTGAACAACTCAATTTTTGTCACAATTCAATATAATTATAAGTGTTTTTGTATCATGTAGATCAGGACAACAGCGACTTCGGATGCCCCATAGGAGAATGTAAGGAGCAGACCAGTAAGAATTCTGGATTTATCAGGTAAGTGGGTTATATAGTTCACTTCAATTAGAACTGGTCGAATTGCCTACTTTCCCTACTGAATTGGCTGGGGTTGTCGGGGGCACTTGCGATTCCGTGAACCACGAAGTAAGACGTGCACCAGCCAAAGCTGAAACAGGTGCAGCGTTTACGTGCTGAGCTGCGAGTATGGCAGAGCACAGGTGCGGCGTAAGTCCGTGGCTAAAACCACTATGATTTAATCGCTGAAACAGGCACCAGGCAATAGTGACAATCGTGTGGATTTTCATGATTTAACTATAATACAAATAACTGGTTGGTGGTTTCAAACATTACTTTTATTTTCCACAATATATGGGATGTCATCCTTCCCATTGGCTATATAATATTGTTCAAGATGGTTATTGCACCACCAACCACAAAAAGAATGCACATTCAAACAACGAGGAAGGGGATTTGATTGGCAAGAAGACAGAGTCTACCAGGAATGTATCAACAAAAATAAGAAGTTGACCTGCAAAAAATGTGATTTGATCAAGAAACACGGGGATATTGAACTATGGAGTCTATGGAGATTGGATCATGATATCTGGAATTTGAGCGGCAAAGATCACGATTCAACTGGTACATTTTTAGGTTTTGACAAGCAACAGCAATTAAGCATTCGAGAAGCAAAACTTGGAATCTATGTCATCATATATCATCATAAAAAACAGTTAATAGATTCGGAAACAAAATGGTTTGATATGGATTTATGCATATATCTCGATTGTTGATGATCAAATTCTCGTACTTGAACGGCACATCACATTCGTATTTTCAAATCAGCAGGTCTTGATGTTCAACTCCTCTCATTTGGATGTTTCTTAAAATGTGGGATCCCAAAGTCATCATAGGTTTTAGTACTGAAATTGGCTGATTTTGATCGATTTGGGGGGTATCCCCATTTCAGGAAACCTCCATTTGCGATGGTCAAATTCCAAAAAAATGCAAGCATTGAGGACCAACACCCCTAGTTTGCTGCTTAAAGTGACACCACTAGTGAAATCCCACATGTTTGATGCATAAGAAGTGTAAATAAGCTTTATTTTTCTTGATCAACAAAGAAATAATCATAAATCATGCTGAATTTTGACTCCGTTTTCCAGGTTAACATCACATTGGTTACGGATTTCTGCATGTTTGAATTGGATCGGTCCGAAAGCCAGGCTGGACGCCTGACTTGGTCCCGAGCTTAGTTGCCAGGGTTCCATGGGGGATAATGGGGGGGTTCCATGGGGGGATTCCCAATAGCTGGTTTATACTCGAAAATCCGAACTGAGGCTACCCCCATGACTTTGGAAACCTCTGCTTGAATGGATTAAGGGCTGGGATACAATCTGGGTAAATTGTAATGACTTCACTGCGACCGAACACTGGAATGATGGGAATTGTAGCAGTGACTATCTCCAAATGACCGAACTTTTTCAGGACAGTGAATTGTTATGATTTACACAGATACAATGGGATTAATAGTGATGAGTAGTGATTGCTAATTGGTTAATCACCCTGGTAGTTGAACATAGCGATGGAAAACGAACCGTTGTTGGATGATCTACCTATTAAACATGCTAATTATCTATTGGCTATGTTAAATTACTGGAGGGTAGTTGGAGTTGAATGGATGGAGAACCTCAACCTATTTTGGGTCATAGACTCGGGGTGTTTAAATATTAGGGGACATGAGGGGGATGAAATTAACTGAATGGACAGACGGACCACTAATTGTAAACGGTGAATGTTAACCAACTCCAAAATGTTTGGATGATAAGTCATTTTTCATGATCTGAACTATCAATTTATACTGGGTATATTAGATCATGTTCAGATATGATACTGGGTTTACCATTTAATACCATATCAGTTTATCAATACCATTAACATGGATTGAAATGGTCATGTTTCACCAAGAATATTGGAGTGCCCAGTTCATGTACGATGATCCTTTGGGACCCTTTGGGACTTCGGACTGGGTTCTTCGTATATCCCAAGTTACGATAACTTGTGGGCCTTGAAAAGCATGGTTATACCCACCAATTACTATATATCTATCTATTACAATGTATAAAAACCCATTTATTCAAGCCACAAAAGTAGAGGCTTCAAACAAACTCTTGTACGTTTATCAGCCTTGCATAGTTTGTAACAGCTTTTTTTTGTTTGGATGATCCCAATTTACGTAGGTTCTATTCGTGGGATGGGTTGAAACCACCTACCAACCAGCATGGGGTGAAGACGGAGACGCTCCGACAGTCGTGGTCGTTCGTGGTCCCCAAAGTCATCCTTAAGTGATTGGTTATTACCCATGGGATAAACCGCCGGTTTGGGGTAGCCATATTTTAGGAAACCTCCATATTTTGTAATCCTAGTTCATACTAGTTCGATATATATATATATATCCACCATAAATCTATGAGCAAAATCCATTGCTTCTAAACCAATTTTTTTCGAACACGTTCCGGCATCCCATCCTGTGCTGGTTTCGAGTATTTTCAGTTTGGGAATTCAACCAGAATGTGGATGGGAATCCAAAGGAGCTGGATGACCCTTGACACAGCAGAACAGCTTACAGCGCCTGTTAGTGGAACATCATACTTTCATGCGGTGGTCAATTTGGACTTGAGCAAATGGAATTACCTTTTTAACTCCCAGAACGCAGGAATTTTCGACGTGTTCGAATCGGCCTCGAAGGCCTTTTCAATTTCACTCACAGGTTTTTTGCAATGCTACAGCTCGACACCATAGCTCCTCGCAAAGTTCTTGAAGGCTGCGATTACCACGTGCTGAGAGCAGATGATGCGCGCTGAAGCCAGGCTGAATGATCAGGAACAGTTGAAGACCTAGCCCAATCTCACGAAGGTGAGAAGCAGATGATCAACGTAAACATATTCATAGTTCACCAACAGTTTGATACAGTTTTCACAAAGACCTGGTTAAAAGATGTAACAAATACCTGGTTAGCAAAATTCTGATGGATTCATCTTTTAACAAATACCTGGTTGAATACGTGGTTAAATACTTGGTTAATACCTGAATATTCTTGGTTAAATACCTGGTTAAAAGATGTTATTCCACTGGTTAGCCAAGCTGGTTGGTGGTTTGGAACATGAATGGATTATGTTTCCCATCATATTGGGAAGTTCATCATCCCAACTGACTAAGTCATATTTTTCAGAGGAGTAGGTATACCACCAACCAGTTATTGTTGGTATTATAACCATTATTATATAATCCCATTATTGATGATTATCCCATTATAACCACCAACCATTATTCATGGGAATATCTCATATAAAACTGGGGTATAATATGGTCTAACATGGTATTACATTTACATATGTACAATAATGGTATATATATATAGTTCAAATGGCCATTATATATACATATATATATATACACGTATATATGTAAAAGCCATATATTTAGATATGTCTACAAATGGCCATTTATAGACATATATATATGGTATACTATTTAGATATTATATGTATACCATATACTGTTAATATACCATAAACTGTGTATCTAACAATGGTATATATATATATATGGGTAAATTAATGGTGATTAATGTAGATATATCCACAGTAACCCCGCCAGGTCGAGGCAGATCGGAGACATCGGATGGACTTGGAGGAAACGGCCTGGAAGGCGACCAACCGAAAAACCGACATCTGTCGCGCCCCGCGGGGCATGGGACGAGTTTGACCGAGTAATTGGGAGTGAGCCAGGAAAAATATGGAAAAAAGCGTGAGTTAAAGCTGGAAAATGGTGATTTAATAGGATTTGATGTTTGAAAATTGTGATTGAAGAATCAATAATGGTGAATTCAATAGGACTTCTTTGAAACATTCTTGTGTTTCAGCCATCAATATAACTAAGAAAAAGTGGGATTTATCCGTCAAATCAATGTTTTTTTTTTACCCTGTGATTTATCCGTCAACTTACCTAGAAAAATACGGTGATATTCTAAGCTTTCAACCAGCTTACCTAGGCGAAATTATCAAATTACTAGGGCAATCTTACATGGATACCAGCAAAATTGGATTTCATGGTGATTTACCATAGATTTTAATAGGATGTAGTGGGATACTTTAGTCTTTTGGTATTAATGGGAATATCTACGTTCACCAGCAAAGAATTTGTCATTGTTTGCAGGGTATCTAAGATTGGCAATGATTATAACGATTAGAAAAAGGATGATTTCAGCAACGCAAATGCAGATTGAACCAGCAAAAAACGGTGATTTGACTACATTAAACCTTGGCGCAACTGCTTGTTGGAGCCATGCACATCTAGTTCCATATATGTGGACAGGTATACGTCAAGCACCAATATTTCCAGGGTTTTGTTCATCAAGATGTGTAAGTACATGATATCTGATATTTCATCATTCCAAAGTACGCAGATACTCAAAGTACCGTTTGAAAACTGTAAAAATGCAACCTGTTGGGATAAACTACATGGTTTAATGGGTCAATTGAGTGGCTAGGTAGGTAGATACTTCACTGCTGTGTCCAGTGGATGGTTCATTTTTTAATGCATATCCCAGGATGTTGTCTTAATACTATTTCATAAATCTACACCTTGAAAATGCCAATCACTGTAGATAAAAGTCTACCATTTTTGGGAGACTTGCTGTCTCACCATGTACATTTGATTATGTATAAGTGTGATGACGTACATATACAGTATTTATATATATATTTATATATGTACATATGTATATATATATATGTACATATATATATATAAGTATAAAATATACATTATCTATACTAAGTATATACGTATTTATATATATATATATGTATTGCATATATGTGGATACTAGACTACATATCTATACATATACAGATAAATTAATGTGTATACATATTGATGTACCCAACCGACCATACCACTGTACTTGACGCCACCAAACTAACTCCTTACCACACGTGACGCGTTGCATCTCGAGGCAGAGAGGGATGAGCTGTCGTCCGCGCTCAAAGAACAGCGCAACAAGGAGGGGACAAAACGGAGGGAAATTCCACACGCTGTTGATTGGTTGCTTCGTGGAAACTAAAAACCAGCAATTACCCACTGGTTATGTCAACAGTTTGCTATTGAAAATGGCCCAGTCGAAATAGTGAATTGTCCCATTAAACATGGTGATTTTCCATAGTTATGTAAACGTTTACCAGAGGGTACAAGTTTTTTCTTGGGACTTGTTCAATGCTTTAAAAAAGTGTTCATAGGACAATGGGGATCTGAGGGGAATTCAGCCCACAAAAATAAAGATGTTGCCTCGTTTAACCAACCAAAATACGGGATAAAAAAGGGCCCGGGAATATCATGGGATATAATGGGATGTAATTAATCAGCTGATTGGTGGTTTCAAACATGTTTTATTTTCCATAATATATGGGATGTCATCCTTCCCATTGACTTTCATATTTTTCAAGATGGGTACTACACCACCAACCGAATTTGACTGCTCAACTTCTCCGGTTTCTGGTTGGTGCTTTGGAACATGAATGGATTATGACTTTCCATTCAGTTGGGAATGTCATCATCCCAACTGGTCCGAACTCCATCATTTTTCAGAGGGGTTGAAACCACCACCAACCAGTTTGGTTTGTTACCCTCTGGAAATTTAGCATAGCTATTGAAAATGGCCCATAGAAATAGTTGATTTACCTATTAAAGATGGTGATTTTCCAGTTCGCGAACTGTTAGCTTACTGGAGGGTAGATCCATGTTAGATCCGTTAAATAACTTGACTACCCCTTCAATCGGGCTGAAGAATCCCCTTAAAAAAAATCACTCTCCAAGACTCCGAAACTACACATTTTGTCCAAGGATCAATGTTGTTTACATGGATTGTTTCAGTAGGTACATCTCTCTCAATATTACTGCTTACTGGAAAAAAAACTTTTAGAACCATGTTTTTACATGGTAAATTCCCATTAAATCAACACGACATGTCACTAAATCCAAGTTGTTCGTTGGTAAACCCTCTTCGAAATCCGCATTTTTCCTTGTGTGCATCCGTTGTGCGTGAAAATCCACTTGGAATGGCCTTCAGGCAGCTCAGATTCTCACCCAGTTGGCGTTCAGTGCCGGTCATGCACCGACCGTTGAGGTGCCAATGCCGTGTGGCGCCTGGGAATAAAACCTCGGGAAAATTTTGGGCAACATGTGTACCATCTTCGTCACGTCCCCATTATAAAATAATGTAGTGTATTTAATTCCCCATTTATTTGGTTTTAGTGGTACCATGGTAGTTATATGATTAATATGATTATATGAGTTATTGTGCCCATGTTGTCACAATTAAGTGCCAATCAAAAAACTCTCAGCTGGGGATGAGTGGATGATAATGATGGTAAAATAGTGATCATTGATGGTGTAATATCCCCAACTGAGAGTTATCATCCAATCTGATATCCCCAATAGTTATCATCATTTATCATCCAAGAATGAGAGTTGTCAGTAATCATTGGGCTAAGTATCCCCCATATTAGATAGTAATGGTGTAAAAGCTGCTTGATGGTTCACCCAGGGCCAGTTCCCCCCAATGATAGCTGGACCACCCAACTGACCGTACTGAAAGAACTGGGGTGAACGAATGCACGTACTAATTGGGGTGAACCACCAAGTACTGGGCAGTAGACCTCGTCTCAATAGTGGTCTAGATGCATTCTGGTTGGTGGTTTGGAACATTTGGATTATTTTGCCATATATTGGGAATAATCATCCCAACTGACTTTCATATTTTTCAAGATGGTCAAAACATGTTAAAACCACCAACCAGATTACTTTCTTTAGAGTTGTGGTTTCGAATATAGGCTTGCTAGGCGCGGCTAGTGTATCCAACCCCGACTGAACATTCCGTTGCAGAGAATTTAGGAACTCCAAGCCAAATCTGTTGTGACACTGGCCGGTTGATTTCAGACCCATAGGGACAAAATTTCATCAAGTTTGTCTCATTGGATTGGTCTAAGGGACAATTTTAACCGGAAACCATAGATTTTCCCATTGAATATGGGGCTTTCCATGGCTTTCCTGTAGATTTTCCCCATTCAACCAATCCATTGATTGTCGGCGACCTTGTGCCGTGTTGATTTGATGTGATTTGCTAATGCAGGGGTGACTTCTGGATTTCGTGTGGTGATGCAGCAACGGCGAATGCCTGGCAGTAAATGATTCATTTTATGTTGATGCCATCATTCTGACATTGTTTGCTACCTATAGTGCTCCTACCCTCTGGTAAACTAGCGTAACTATGGAAAATCACCATGCTATTAATGGGTAGATCCACTATTTCTATGTCCATGTTCAATAGCTTTTTGTATGTTTACCAGAGGGTATATCTATATTAATCCCATTATCAACCACTATTCACCCACTATTATTCATTAACCATCATTAACCACCAGTAAGAAGACAGGGGGTTTGCCGCTCAGTCAACCATGACAGGATACCAAGCACCTTGAAGACGAGGTGGGAGCTTGGAAGAATGCATCGTGTTGACCAACGGGGCGAATATATTCCATGTGTAACTAATTTTACATCCATAGAACAACCATAAAACACATAATGATAACCATAATAGCCATTCATAACCATATTCCATTTGTATTTGGTTTTTAGTGGTTGTGATATGGTTATTATTGCCAGCACATATCAGCCCAGATCTGCGAACTCTGCGGGCGAACTCGCACCAAAGGGTCAAAAAGTGCAATTGCGTTGCTTGAATTCGCTGATTTGTTGATTCTATTCACCAACATCCCCCAAATTAGGGAGCCAAGAAAATGCATTTGGCAAATTTAATCACTTGACCAAAACTATGTTGGAAATTATCGCTGATAATTGCCTTGAAGTAACATGGAACCGTATATGTTGGTTGTTTACTTTTGGGTGCATCCCATTTAGTAAATGGGCTATATCTCCAGTCAATTCCAGTTATATACATACATACATATATATATGTATATATGTATATATTATATACATATATATATATGTATATATATATATATGTATATATATTTATGTATATATATATATATATATATATGTATATATATATATATATATCTACGTCGAATACCTTCAGTTATATGTATTATATGTATATATATGTGGGTCAGAAACGAATTACAATTCGTGGGATGCACTTCCAAGTAAGCTTTAGGGTATCAGGCTTGTATGGGGGCGTCTCAAAACCTATCATTATCAATTTTAGCGGGGTGAGCATCCATAAATCCCAGCTATTTTGATGTTCACCAGGGGTACAAGGTTTTGACCAATAGGCCGTATAAAAATTAAAAAAAAAAACATTATAAATCTAGATTTGCCGACTATCTAGTATACCATAGTTATATTGGTTCATCTAAATTATTACTAGTTACTAGGTCAACTTTGCATGGGTAGTTTAATCCTTTAATCTTTTGCTATCAATGGGAATATCCACTAACCAGCTAAAAATTAGATTTTTTTTGCCAGGTATCTAAGATTGGCAATGGTTATTTCGAAACATAAAATAGCCCGGTTTTTCAAAGTGACCCTTTTGAGGTGGTTCGTTGTGACTCTTAGACTCTTGGTGGTTGAAAAGGTCACGGAGGAAGAACCAAGATGTTGGTTGTTAAATATGGAACCATATAGATTTGTAAACTATCCAATACAGTATACATATATTATACTAGTGGACTAGCACATAGAATATTCGATTTTATTGACTATGCAGTTAGAATATCCTTAAAACCATATGTCCCCGGGGTAAAACCAGTGCACTTAGAATATTCGATTTTTGCACATGTATAACATAATTTAAACATAAAAGCATGATTTTAATAGAAATTTAGGACTGTTTCACAAAATCGATGCACATAGAATATTCTTTGCATGCGTTCCTATGTGCAATGGGGATGCTTTGTACATGTAAACATGATAAACATGCATGTACATATGTATATATGTATGTATATAGAAGCTAGCTAGCAGCTATTTACAAGCTATTCAGTTCAGTAACTATTTGGAAGCTATTTAGCAGCTAGCTAGCAGCTATTTAGAAGCTATTCAGCAACTATTTGGAAGCTATTTAGCAACTATTTAGCACCTATTTAGTAGTTATTCAGCAACTATTTGGAAGCTATTTAGCAGCTAGCTAGCAGCTATTTAGAAGCAACTATCTGGAAGCTATTTAGCAACTATTTGGAAGCTATTTAGCAGCTATTTAGCACCTATTTAGTAATTATTCAGCAACTATTTGGAAGCTATTTAGCAGCTAGCTAGCAGCTATTTAGAAGCTATTCAGCAACTCTTTGGAAGCTATTTAGCAGCTAGCTAGCAGCTATTTAGAAGCTATTCAGCAACTATGTGAAAGCTATTTGGCAGCTAGCTAGCAGCTATTTAGAAGCTATTCAGCAACTATGTGAAAGCTATTTAGCAGCTAGCTAGCAGCTATTTTGAAGCTATTCAGAAACTATTTGGAAGCTATTTAGCAGCTAGCTAGCAGCTATTTAGAAGCTATTCAGCAACTATTTGGAAGCTATTTAGCAGCTAGCTAGCAGCTATTTAGAAGCTATTCAGCAACTATTTGGAAGCTATTTAGCACCTATTTAGTAGTTATTCAGCAACTATTTGAAAACTTTTTAGAAGCTAGCTAACAGCTATTTAGAAGCTATTCAGCAACTATTTGGAAGCTATCTAGCAGCTAGCTAGCAGCTATTTAGAAGCTATTCAGCAACTATTTGGAAGCTATTTAGCACCTATTTAGTAGTTATTCAGCAACTATTTGGAAGCTGTTTAGCAGCTTGCTAGCAGCTAGCTAGCAGCTATTTAGAAGCTATTCAGCAACTATTTGGCAGCTATTTCGCAGCTAGCTAGCAGCTATTTAGAAGCTATTCAGCAACTATTTGGAAACTATTTAGCAGCTAGCTAGCAGCTATTTAGAAGCTATTCAGCAAGTATTTGGAAGCTATTGAGCACCTATTTAGTAGTTATTCAGCAACTATTTGGAAGCTATTTAGCAGCTAGCTAGCAGCTATTTAGAAGCTATTCAGCAACTATTTGGAAGCTATTTAGCAGCTAGCTAGCAGCTATTTAGAAGCTATTCAGCAACTATGTGAAAGCTATTTAGCAGCTAGCTAGCTATTTAGAAGCTAGCTAGCTAGCTAGCTATTTAGAAACTATTCAGCAACTATTTGGAAGCTATTTAGCAGCTAGCTAGCAGCTATTTAGAAGCTATTCAGCAACTATTTGGAAGCTATTTAGCAGCTAGCTAGCAGCTATTTAGGAGCTATTCAGCAACTATTTGGAAGCTATTTAGCAGCTAGCTAGCAGCTACTTAGAAGCTATTCAGCAACTATGTGGAAGCTATTTAGCAGCTAGCTAGCAGCTATTTAGAAGCTATTCAGCAACTATTTGGAAGCTATTTAGCAGCTAGCTAGCAGCTATTTAGAAGCTATTCAGCAACTATTTGGAAGCTGTTTAGCAGCTATTTAGCAGCTATTTAGCCTATTGAGTAGTTATTCAGCAACTATTTGGAAGCTATTTAGCAGCTAGCTAGCAGCTATTTAGAGCTATTCAGCAACTATTTGGAAGCTATTTAGCAGCTAGCTGCAGCTATTTAGAAGCTATTCAGCAACTATTTGGAAGCTATTTAGCAGTTAGCAGCTAAGCTATTCAGCTATGCTATTTAGCAGCTAGCTAGCAGCTATTTAGAAGCTATTCAGCAAGTATTTGGAAGCTATTTAGCAGCTATTTAGTAGTTATTCAGCAACTATTTGGAAGCTATTTAGCAGCTAGCTAGCAGCTATTTAGAAGCTATTCAGCAACTATTTGGACACGATTTAGCAGCTAGCTAGCACCTATTTAGTAGTTATTCAGCAACTATTTGGAAGCTATTTAGCAGCTAGCTAGCAGCTATTTAGAAACTATTCAGCAACTATTTGGAAGCTATTTAGCAGCTAGCTAGCAGCTATTTAGAAGCTATTCAGCAACTATTTGGAAGCTATTTAGCAGCTAGCTAGCAGCTATTTAGAAGCTATTCAGCAACTATTTGGAAGCTATTTAGCAGCTAGCTATTAGCTATAAGCTAGCTAGCTATTTAGTAGCACTATTGGAAGCTATTTAGCAGCTAGCTAGCAGCTATTTAGGAAGCTATTCAGCAACTATTTGAAGCATTTAGCTTTAGTAGTTATCCAGCAACTATTTGGAAGCTATTTAGCAGCTAGCTAGCAGCTATTTAGAAGCTATTCAGCAACTATTTGGAAGCTATTTCGCAGCTAGCTAGCAGCTATTTAGAAGCTATTCAGCAAGTATTTGGAAGCTATTTAGCAGCTATTTAGTAGTTATTCAGCAACTATTTGGGAGCTATTTAGCAGCTAGCTAGCAGCTATTTAGAAGCTATTCAGCAACTATTTGGAAGCTATTTAGCAGCTATTTAGCACGTTTTGGCACCTATTTAGTTGTTATTCAGTAACTATTTAGAAGCTATTTAGCAGCTAGCTAGCAGCTATTTAGAAGCTATTCAGCAACTGTTTGGACACTATTTAGCAGCTAGCTAGCAGCTATTTAGAAGCTATTCAGCAACTATTTGGAAGCTATTTAGCAGCTAGCTAGCAACTATTTAGAAGCTATTCAGCAACTATTTGGAAGCTATTTAGCAGCTAGCTAGCAGCTATTTAGAAACTATTCAGCAACTATGTGAAAGCTATTTAGCAGCTAGCTAGCAGCTATTTAGAAGCTATTCAGCAACTATTTGGAAGCTATTTAGCAGCTAGCTAGCAGCTATTTAGAAGCTATTCAGCAACTATTTGGAAGCTATTTAGCAGCTATTTAGCACCTATTTAGTAATTATTCAGCAACCATTTGGAAGCTATTTAGCAGCTAGCTAGCAGCTATTTAGAAGCTATTCTGCAAGTAAAGGAATTAAATGAATTTAAAGGGGTTTTAAAGGGATTCAAAGGAATTTAAATGACGTTTAAAGGAATTTTCAGGGAATTTCAAATAATTGAAAGGAATTGGAAGTCCCATGTCATGGGGTAATTTTTTTTTCAGAATTTAGAGGAATTTTAAAATATTTTTTTAAATAAGGAATTGGAATGATTTTTCAAGAATTTGAAGGAATTTAACGAATTTTTGTAAAGCAAAATAAGGAATTGGAAGTCCCATGTCATGTGGCAAATTCGTCTTTTAATTTTAAGGAATTTAAAGGAATTTAAAGGAATTTTGTGGTTTTTGGTTATTTGATTTCTATATTCAAATTGTTACAAAACATTGCAGTTAGAATATGTTTTAACAGTCCTGTAGCAAACAATCAACCTTTATATATAATATTGTTGGGATTCTAAAGGAATTTGAAGGAATTTAAATAAATTTAAAGAAATTTGTAAGGAATTTAAAGGAATTTTAAAGGAATTTAAAGGAATTCAAAGGAATTTAAATAACTTTTAACGGAATTTTAAGGGAATTTCAAGGAATTGAAAGGAATTGGAAGTCCCATGTCATGTGGTAAATTCGTCTTTTAAGGAATTTAAATGAATTTAAATGCATTTAAAGGTCTTAAAAAAATAAGGAACTGGACGTCCCATGTCATGTGGTGAATTTTTTTTAAAAGAAAATTTAAGGAC